AACTATAAAATTTTGTATTCAAATCCAATTGAATCTTTTAACTTTGAGTATTACTCGTGTTTAAATTCTTAAATTTGGATGACACACCTAAACTCAAAATTCTAAATTAATTCTTGAAATCAAATTTCAAGTTGAAAATTTTTCTTTGAGATATGATTCAATTCGGATTTAATCTTTGGATTGCACAAGTCGGTTTAAAATTCAAATTTAATTGTAGTTGAGTTTAAATTCACTAATTCTAATAAGACTTGAGTTCCAAAAACCCAATACCAATATTGGAATAAATGTTGGGAATAACGGTATAACGAAAAGGATAAAATAGGATCAACTTCCTATCATGGAGATAATTGTGTATTACATGTCTGAGTGATTATGAATTTTATTGGGGTTCACTCAGGGGCTAATCTACGGTGGGGGCAGCTGTCCTTACTGCAATTTTTAAAACATGTAGGGTATATTTAGAATTTCAAAAAATTTAAGACATTGCCTCCAGTGAAATATTATCAAAGTTCATGGGTAAATTTGTATTTTACAAACAAGTGTGGCATCATTTGTCTTTGATAGCCCCTTTGGATGTGGGCCCATATGTCCGGTGGGTGAGAACATTTTGATTTTCTATAAAAACAATAGAGTATTATGGAGTGATCCTACTTATCAAAAAAATTTGAAGTGATCTTGGCCGTTCATATACTTGATTTTTTAGATTTAATAGTTTTTAAATTTTAAATGAAACAAGAATTTGATTACTTATAAACAAATTTGAATATAGAGTCAGATTAGAAGATGAGCCAACACGAGTCAATTTGGAACACATTCAATTTCTCTTTTCCAAGGGCGACAAAATATTTGTTATTTAGATAAATTTGAGACGCTATTTTTTAGAATTTCACAGTTGATCGTGAATTAAAATAATTGATTTTAATATTTAGGATTAATTTCAACTATCTCAAAAATTTTTATTTGATCCTAAAAAAAATGTAACTTTAATCCTAAATTATAACATAGCTCATAAAAGTTATAATTTTATAGAATTTATTTTTCTTTTCTCTTTTTTGTAAAAAAACTCAAAAATTTATATAACAACCCAGAGGGCTTATAAACTTCACCATCATAGCCCCTTTGATATCAAAGTTGAATTCCAACTTTAAATATTATTCATAAATATGACACAAAATTAACAAATAATTAAGTTGTCCACAACTAAAAAAGTTTGGCTTCGCCCCTGGGTTCACTTGCAGACTTATTTATATCGTGATATAACAATTACACATCCAATATATTTTCCCAGCATCAGTATAGTCCTCATTAAAATTGAGTTTCGATTTTTTACCCTAGTAGTGAAATTTATGTCAATGTACTGAAAATGTCTAATTAAACTTGAGTCGAGTCTAATCTACTCAAATTGCACCCCTAATTCGTGTTTGAATAAACCAAACGAGAGCAAGAAAAACAAGAAGGCAAACTTGCCGCTGCCTTCCCATGGGTAGGGGTGTTCACCCTACCCTACGGATAGGAAATATGTTCTTTCGTTTTCCTACTTGATACTTTGCGGAAGAGTTTTTTCTTGGCTTACCTTACCCGACAGGTGTGGTATTCTTACCCGATTAATTGGGTAAGAAGTCAGGTAGAAAATCGGGTAAACATTTTTGTAACAATTAATTTTTGGATCATTTTAACAATTTAATTAAATAACATGCACCAATTTAATAACACAATAAATCAATTAACACTAAAATCTAAAACAACTGCAACAAAAATTATAATAAAATATAAGAAAGTATGGACATCAATCCACCATAATTGTTATACAAATACAATAACAATTAATTTAAGTTTAAACTTTAAATCATATGAAATACATTAAAATCATAATTGTTCCGCCTGTAATTAGGATTTAGGGTTTTTTTAGTTTATATATATATTAAAAAATTATTGCGGGTAGGGTAGGGTAGGAATGCGAAAATGGATAGTTATTCCGCATTCCTACCCGAAAATTATCGGAAGACCAAAAACTTTTCTGTATTCTTTCTCGATTTGTGCGACTAGTCGTTCAGTAGGGTAAGGTCGGATCGGGTAGGATAGGAACTTGCAGCGATTGAAAATTTGAACATCCCTACCCGGGGGTGCCAAAGGGAGGAGCTGGCCTGTGGTGGCCCAATAGCCGATTGGTCCGACAATGAGCCCATGGGATTCGTCTGACCCAAATCTGGCCCATGTCCCCAGCTGGCTAAACCCGCCAGTCAACCTGCCCAATTTTTAATGTTTCTGTTGTAAGCTTTAAGTTTTATTCATAAATTATATAAGTTGTAAATTTTTAACTCCTAAAATATACCTCTTAAATGTAAAAAATACAATTAATTTCAATAATTTTAACTAAAATTAGGGGTGTTCACTCTACCCTACGGGTAAGAAATATGCTCTTCAGTCTTCCTACCCGATACTTTGCGGAAGAGTTTTTTCTTGGCCTACCCTACCCGATAGGTGTGGTATTCCTACCCGATTAATCGGGTAGGAAATCGGATAAATATTTTTGTAACTATTAATTTTTAGATCATTTTAACAATTTAATTAAATAACATGCACCAATTTAACAACACTATAAATTAATTTACACTAAAATCTAAAACAACTACAACAAGAATTATAATAAAACACAAGAAAATATGAACATCAATCCACCATAATTGTTACACAAATACAATAACAGTTAATTTAAGTTTAAACTTTAAACCATATGAAATACATTAAAATCATAATAGCTCCGCATGTGATTTGGGTTTAGGGTAACGTAGGGTAGGGTAGGAATACGAAAATGGATGACTATTCCACGTTCCTACCCGATAATTGTCGAAAGACCAAAAATTCTTCCGCATTCCTACCCGATTTTTACGACTAGCCGTTCAGTAGGGTAAAGTAGAGTCGAGTAGGATAGGAACTTGCAGCCGTTTAAAAATTTGAACACCCCTAATCGAAATACCCGGCTCGAGATACAACTCAGTCTAGTCCGCCAAAGAACTCACACCCCCAGTAGGACTAATAATCGAGCTTGTCGACCTCGTTCTTTTACTCGAATTTAGAAAAATGTTCAAACTTAAACAAGTCAAACATAAATAAAGCTCAAAAAGAGAAGAACATATGTAACTTAACTATTTTACATATAAACAAGTCGAATTTTATGAGTTTGAGTCGAGTTTTTTAAGCTCATTTTTATAAACAAACTTAAAAAAGAGTTCTTTGGAAGTGGGTACACTAAATTAGACATAATTGTAAAAAAATATACATAACAAAATGATTTAGAAAAAAGTACACAGCTGAAATACAAAGACATAAATGTCCATTTTGTAAAATTTTCTTTCCTAAAAAATGTAACAAGACATTTATCTTAAGCACCAAAATTTAGGGTCATTTAATTCTAAATTTCTAATGCACCTTGATTCATGCGTATTTTTTTTTAAAGTAGTTTTGTTTTCAAATTATATTTATGCATTAAATATCTCCTAATTTTATGGAAGAACTTTAATATTCCATTTATTTTAGGATATATCACTTTGTTTGAATTTTAAAATTTGTTAATATCCGAACTCTATAATAGTGTAACAGAAATAATATAACAATACACTGTAATAAAAACAGTGTTCAGTGATTTTGTACATGTTGTAACAAATTCAAAACAGAAATGAACTATTTTGAATAAAATTATATAAAAATATATGTTTGATAAATATAATAATACAATATTTTGTGTAAATAACTTGTTACTATGGTCTCATTAACTTATACCCCAACTCAAAACTTACGATAGCCCAACTCGGTGAGCCAAAAAGAGGTTTATGATGTCATTAACGTGTAACCCGGTTCGGTTCACGGCGGTCAAGTCATCTCGGTGCCCCCACGAGTCATTGACTAATATGCAGCGTTGAACCTTTGTGTGCCTCTGCTAATATTTTTGTGCACCGTCCGAAATTTCCAATAAGATGCCATGCTTGGACCGATGTTCTACAGAGGTTTAACGCGCTAATGAACTGCTTCCAAAACACCTAATGTTTGTACCTCCAGCCAGCCATGGTGGAGGAGCATTGGGTTGAATTGGCATGTCAATTAGGGCTGACAATGGCCTTGCCTTGTCGGATTTGCATCATATGCAAATTTAGCCGTTTTAAAATTTGTCTCAACTCATTCCCGACTTATTTATAATTGTGTATATTCAGCCGTGTGTGGCAAATTCGTATTGGCTTTGATGAATCAAATGGGTGTCTGCTGTTTTACTACCCAAATCCATTAAAACTAAATTTAAATCTAAATCCAGTGAATTGATATTGATTTCTTGACTAGGCTCACGTATGAATATTGTGATTGCTTCAATACCTATGAAAAGTCTTGGACTCAGAAGGTCAAGTTTCTGGACATCTTCTAGAAAAATAGAAGCCACCATGCATTGACTACACTTGTGGGCTAATTCAACAGAGAAAAGATGAAAGTTTCGCGATCCCTTACCTTATGTAAACTTTGGCGACTCCAGCAAACTACGCCAAGAATAAACAGCACCTTAGAAGCCGGAATGTCCTTTGAAGAGTAAACAGCAAGACCGTCCTGCAGATGGTTCTTCCGCCTCTAACGAACAATCATCTATATCATCTGTCAGAAATTACAATTCAACAGACTTAACTGCAAGCGAGATAAAATAAATTGCAGCTGGGCTCTGTGTTAGATCTTGCTGTGGGAGAGTTAATCTCTCTCTAACAAGAAAAAAGGAGGTTTTTTGGACAAGAAAAGAAAGGTACTTGGTCTTTTGACACTAATTGCAGTTGAATTAGTCTGTTTTTCTAAATTGCATGTAACAGGCACGGAGACCCCTCTGCTACTGGCGGGCAGATGGAGATATCTTACTCCGATTCAACAACTTGTTTGGCAGAGGTCAATAGAACAGTCCTGCAGAACGTTCTCCTGTCTCTGATGACTATTGATATATTTACCTGTAAAAAATTACAATTCATGACAGGTAAGGAGGCTATCCTTTGAAGAGTAAACAGTGAGTGAAACAGTCCTGCACAAGGTTCCCCCATACATTCATTAAATATAAAAAGCCTCCAGGCTTCTTCAGGAGTTCTTGTGGTGCTTCAGACCAGTGAAAAGCAGCACAAGCTATGATGGGCAAGAAACTGAATGCTCTGCTAGGAAGAAAATCCAAGACATTGGAACTCAAACCCCTGGCTAATCTTGCTATCTCAAGGATTGCCATTTTCAAGAAACAGAGCAATGTTCGATGTTCACATGCTGAGTCCAATGTCATTCAGCTGCTCAACCTCAGTCATCAAGAGCAGGCTCTCCTTCGTGTAAGTTTTTGTTCATTTAGTCTCTCTCTCTCATTTACACAAGTGCCCGCATGAAACACATAAATTTGTATATAACTGACCCATCTTCATAGGTTGAGCATGTGATCAAGGAGCATAACTTGTTGGATGTGTTTGCAATGATAGAAAACTACTGCTATCGTCTCATTGAGGGACTTGTGCTCCTTCAGGACACCAGGTTAGTTTGCATGTGTATGGTTGTTATACATTTTGATTAGTTCCAAAATGCTTATATAACCCTTGGAGCAGTTTTTAAGTTCTTTTTACAAATGCAAATCCTATGTAGGGAATGCCCTGACGAGCTCAAGGAGATAATATCCAGCTTAATTTTTGCGTCTTCAAGAATTGGAGAATTCCCAGAGCTACAACAGATTCGCGAAATTTTCGTTTCAAGGTTTGGGAAAGAATTTGCCACTCGTGCTATTGAGTTAAGAAACAACTGCGGAGTAAATCCTAAGGTAAGAGTTTGGTTTTCACTTTTCATGGATGAGGATGACACAACATATATTTCTCACAAAAGTTTCTCTCCTGATTACTGTCTGTAGATGATACAGAAGCTTTCAACACGACAAGCAAGCCTGGAAAGCAGATTGAAAGTACTAAAGCAATTTGCTTTGGATAATGGGATCACCTTCCATCTTGAGGACGACACTCCTGTGAATATGCAGGTACAACTATGACAGCAGCAACAATAAACGATGATGATGATGACCATGATGCTGATATTAGTAGTCAGACCATTAAAAGTAATACAACTGAAATGAGATCACCATTTGATGATTGCAGGAGAAACACGATGTCAATCAGAAACAGCAGCAGCTTGAGCCGATAGAAGATGCCATCTTAAATGATCCCAAGGTAGGAATAGTTGCACAAGATTTGTCAGAGTCAATCACAAAGGATGAAAAATATTCCGAATCGATGAAGGCAAGAATGTACAGAGATGCGGCTGCTGCAGCACAAGATGCTTTTGAATCAGCCACGTATGCTGCAGCAGCAGCGAGAGCTGCAGTTGAGCTATCTCGAATTGAATCATGGAATGAAGATTCAGATGAACGTCCCGGTTTTCATCATCAAGGAATCCCATGAAACTCTGATGGTTCATCAAAATCTAAAGTTCAAATCAATAAGGATGCCAATTCAAAAGATGTCCTTGACATCTAGAAGGGACTGGGTTTCAAGTGAGACATTTTGGCCCAGGCATGCTATTCATTGTAAGTCCCAATTTCTTTTCTCATTTAATAAACTCATACATTACTGGCAATTAACCTAGCAGTATGAATGAATGAGAAAATGTGAGGTCATTGGACTTGCTTCCTTTCCTTTACGAGTATGTACACAGAAATAGATTTTATGGATTAATAGTACACATCAAACCATTTGGGGATTAAAGTGTGATTCTTCTTTCAAATGCACATTACATGCTTATGTTCATGAAATGCTAATCATGATAATAGCAAAATGAAAATAATGACTTGCTCTCAAACCTCGTGATAATGCTCAATCATAAAGCCTTTTCTTCGATCAAAGAACATGCTATGAATATGCTGATGTGGAATAGGTGATCATTCTTAAGCAAGCAACTCACTAGCCTAACAAGTACGAAACTCAAAGCATTTAGAAAGAAGGTGGGGAGACCCAAAAAAAAAAAAAGATAATGTCGTAAGTGTCCTAATTCTCTAAAATAATTGTGATTTGAAAAGCTAAAGTAAAGAGGAGACCAAGATTTGGGAAGTAAAGAAAAACTCGACTTTTTTTACCAGCGCTCCCCTGTGTTCCAACAGCAAGCACTTTCTCTAAGTAAAAATTCAGGCCTTGGAAGTTTAACCATTGAAACAAACTCATTTATACTTTACCAAATGACAACCATAAGTTATTTCAATAGCACTTTCCATTCTTCCTTCCATTTGAGGTACTTTTTCTTTTAAGTTATGTTTCAAACACTGTTGTTAAGTGAGATTAACAGAGAAGGATGCATCTTTGAATGGGTAACAGTGTAACAAGATCTTCAGTGAAAATTAGTCAGCAATGTACCATTTCAGAAGTTAATACACAAGTATTGATCCAGTCATCAAGAAAAAAGCATGGTATGTAAGGTCCAAATAAATGAACTATAGCCAACAAAAACAGAAGTAGAATTCCAATCAACACATAGTTTGAGGGGGGAAAAGATATGGCATTCCATCATATAGCAGTCGGAACAAGTCAAGCAGTTTCAAGAACTCTGTATTACTAGAAGTTACAATAACAATAATTTTCAATCCATAACATGCAAGACTGAAATCAAAAATTCCCCTAGATGCATAAAAGCTTACGCTAAATCGCCGCCACTCTGTTGCCACAAATTGATGATATCAGTGGCCTGATTGAGAAGAATAATCATCTGCTTCTGGGATATCCAGGGCTTACTTTCAAGCATCACTTTAAGCTCTTCCCAAGCATCTTTCCTCGGCCAAAAGTAATATGGACTCAGAGGAATTGTGCCGTGTCCAGGAATCGTTTGGTCCAGTGCAAGACCTAAGTTCTTCTCCATCCAAATGAACTTCAACACGAGCCTCGGTTTTTCCATTGGCTTCACTACCACTCGAAGTTTCTGCAATAAAACAATCAAATTGAAGAATTCAATAACCAAAACATTTGCATCCACAAACCCATGTATACATTGAGAGAGAGAGAGAAAGAAAGAAAGAGGGAACCTCTGTTTCAGGTGAAGAGGCTGAACCACCGGGGGATGTTTCTTCAGTAATTGCTTCGGCGGCGGCAACCGAAGAAGCGGAGAGATTGATGTTTCTAGCGCTGCGTCTGAATTTCAACTCAGAAAGCTTCAAGGACTGAAAAGAAGAGGCATAAGGCTTCACACTGATCGAGTCTCCGAAGGGTTTCAGTACCGGTTTTGGAATGAGAACTGTTGATGAGGACGACGGTCTGAAAGAACAATTAACACTCGGTTGTATCGCCATTGATAACATCTTCACAGAGAGAGAGAGAAAGATTATAAGGGTCTGGGAGAAGGAAACATGGCCGTTTCCTCTGGTTTGCGTTTCGCAAGTTTGCTCGTTTGGCGAGTGAGGAACAAGATAAGGAGAGCCGCCAGTTTATTCGTACCGCAATGCTTGCTTTTACAGTTTTACTATACTGAATCTAAAAATAATTTTAATTCAAACAAATATATAAATAAAAACTCGCATAGAATATTTTCGATCCAACACTCTAAAATATTTAGTCAAAATTTATTTAAATATTATATTTATTATTTTAACTTGTCATTTTTATAAATTCACTCTAACTACACTCTTTATTTTAACTAATTATTCAACCCAACTTTCACTAACTTTTAATAATTTAAAAGAAACATAATATATATAGAGAGAGATAGAAAGAGAAAGAGGCCAAGAGAGAATTTAGAGAGATTAAATGACTCTTTACATTTGAAGAGTCATTTGGATGAAATAAAAACTAGAAAGTGGGATAGAGAGTAAATTGGAGAGAGTTTTTTGTATTTGACTAACTAAAATAACTAAAAGAAAAGAAATTGAGAGCGGTAATCCGTGCTTTCACAATGATTTTGAGAAAAATGTTATTGACATTAAATCAGTCTATTTGAAATTATCGAATAAATTTATTAAAATTTATCAATATTTTATATTATAGAAGACAATTTTCAACCACACTCATTCTAATTTATCATATCTTCAAAGATATCTTTTCTATTATCCAAAATATCATTAACTCTTTCTTAGTTTATATTAAAACATCACCTCTACCGTTAAACCACCATTTTTAACAAAAAAACTCATCTAAAATACTAAATTACCCCTACATAAACCCTAAATAATCTTTCTATATAAAATTCAATTAAATTTGAGACAATTAAAATTTGATTTGAATTGATTAACTTTTATTTTGTTTATATATTAAAATTTGATGAGCTCTACCTTAGTAATTAGTGCCGATTAAAATTTAATCCGATTTGAGTCGATTAAAATTTATATATTTTTTTTACTTTGTAAAATTCGTGGTAATTAAAATTCGATTCAAGTTTATTAAAATATATTTTTTACTTATTAAAATTTAAGTTGATTAAAATTTATATTTTTTTATGTATTAAAATTCAAATCGATTAAAATTCAATGCAAGTTGATTAAAATTTGAGTGGATACGATTTAAATTGCCCAAATTTTAATTTGTAAAAAAATTCATAAAACAAAAAGGTCTAATTATAGATATGTTTATTTAGATGGGATATAGATAAAATTTTTTCTAAAATATATCATGAACAATTGATAAAATTGTATTCAAGTTAAGTCTTTTAATCTAAATAGAGGTGTCGGTGTAGATTTAAAAAATACATAAAATATCCTTAAAGGTATGATAAACTAGAAGGAATATGATTGAAATTTTTCAAAAAATTAATTAATAATGTGTGTTTGAACACACTTTACAATACAAAAAAAATTAAGTATTCATTGAACAATATTTGTATTTTAAATAATTAATTATTTTTTTACTATGTATTTTAAAATTAAAATTAATAGATAGAAAAGATGAGAAAGATATGGAAGGGAGAAGAAAGAAATAAGTGAGAATTAGTATGAGTCATTTAAATTTGAGAATCATGTTAATTAAGTAGTTTGACATTAAAAATTATACACAGAAGATATTTTTTAGCCAAAAAAAAAAAATATTTCCAGATAAATTTTATAATATTAAATCAAAGTAAGTGAAAAGTAGATTAATTTTAATAATTACTATATTTTTATAAATTGAGAATTCAATTTTTTAACTGTAATATTAAATAAATTATTTATGTGGCTCAAAATCTTCAACGATTACTATTGCACCTTAACCAAGGTTAAGGGACATGGTAGTTTTTGTTACATCTCCCCCTCCCGGAGCCCCGGTTTCATATACACACTCCGAATTAAATGTCTTGAATATTTGAAGAAAAATGACCTAAAATTGAATGCATTGAATACTAGGAAAAAAATGGCCTCTTACAACGAATTTCGCTATATTAAGGCCATTATATTTATGACTCGTTGCGAACTATAGAAACAGAATGAGAACTAATAGACAAACAAGGATTGAATGTGCGGGGACAAAATATTGGCATATCTCATCAAAACGTATCTCGTTCAAACATCAATTTTCTCCCGCGAAGGAAATGGCATCTTTTTCTTTCACGTCTGAATCTGCTGCATCGAAGGAAAACAGGCCAATTTTACATATTGTCCAACTGTGACATAGTGAATAACAATCAACAGAGCCATCAAGATCAGAAAAAAGAGTAGAAGGGTAATTTCACTCGATGAGAACAATGACATTCAGATTTAGCACATTGTATCTTCTAGTAGGGTACAACTTCCTGGAGATGAACATCAAAATTCGGGTCACATTTTGAACTCGATCATGGAGCATTCGACATCCACAGCCATACACCCACAAACTGGTACGGTTGAGTAGAGCTCTTTTTGCTCAAACTATTCGACTATCCAAAGCAACGCTATAGTACCAATTGGACCAAGAACTAAAGAATGGGCAGTTTTTGGAACTCACTACAGATTAAGAGTCCTATCGAGAAAAAAAAGGACAACCTTCAGAACAAGCAGTTAAAAGCAATTCTGCAGTGATAACACCCAACCCCTAATTCCCTCTCTCAGGCAACCATGTCATATATAAGCATCCAGAGTGTCAATTCGATGGAGACTACCTTGAGGCCATGCCAAAATTTAATATTCTCCATTGCTTGGAGTAACAGCACGCCACCTAAACAAATTTATACAGTCAACACGACAAACGCTTGGTTTATNAAAAAAAAAAAATATTTCCAGATAAATTTTATAATATTAAATCAAAGTAAGTGAAAAGTAGATTAATTTTAATAATTACTATATTTTTATAAATTGAGAATTCAATTTTTTAACTGTAATATTAAATAAATTATTTATGTGGCTCAAAATCTTCAACGATTACTATTGCACCTTAACCAAGGTTAAGGGACATGGTAGTTTTTGTTACATCTCCCCCTCCCGGAGCCCCGGTTTCATATACACACTCCGAATTAAATGTCTTGAATATTTGAAGAAAAATGACCTAAAATTGAATGCATTGAATACTAGGAAAAAAATGGCCTCTTACAACGAATTTCGCTATATTAAGGCCATTATATTTATGACTCGTTGCGAACTATAGAAACAGAATGAGAACTAATAGACAAACAAGGATTGAATGTGCGGGGACAAAATATTGGCATATCTCATCAAAACGTATCTCGTTCAAACATCAATTTTCTCCCGCGAAGGAAATGGCATCTTTTTCTTTCACGTCTGAATCTGCTGCATCGAAGGAAAACAGGCCAATTTTACATATTGTCCAACTGTGACATAGTGAATAACAATCAACAGAGCCATCAAGATCAGAAAAAAGAGTAGAAGGGTAATTTCACTCGATGAGAACAATGACATTCAGATTTAGCACATTGTATCTTCTAGTAGGGTACAACTTCCTGGAGATGAACATCAAAATTCGGGTCACATTTTGAACTCGATCATGGAGCATTCGACATCCACAGCCATACACCCACAAACTGGTACGGTTGAGTAGAGCTCTTTTTGCTCAAACTATTCGACTATCCAAAGCAACGCTATAGTACCAATTGGACCAAGAACTAAAGAATGGGCAGTTTTTGGAACTCACTACAGATTAAGAGTCCTATCGAGAAAAAAAAGGACAACCTTCAGAACAAGCAGTTAAAAGCAATTCTGCAGTGATAACACCCAACCCCTAATTCCCTCTCTCAGGCAACCATGTCATATATAAGCATCCAGAGTGTCAATTCGATGGAGACTACCTTGAGGCCATGCCAAAATTTAATATTCTCCATTGCTTGGAGTAACAGCACGCCACCTAAACAAATTTATACAGTCAACACGACAAACGCTTGGTTTATCGTTGTCATCTTGGCGTTGTTCCTGAACCGATGCCACTTCCTCATGTGGCCTAGTGCTCTCATCAGTCATCAATGTCTTAATCAACTCCGAATTATGTACTGTATGTCCTTCATTCTCTGCCTTTCCAGAAGACTATTCGAATGGTAAAGGACCTGAGGCAAGTTGGAGATCATCTATTTCAGCAGGGGCTCTCCTTGCTCTGCTCAGCATTCTCAGGTATTTTGACTGGGATTAAACCTATAACTTCTTCCACAGATTGCAGATTACACATGGATTGATCATTGTCAAGGCTTGGGACTTCTTTATCTCTCTCCTGATGGTGATCATTAAATGGCTCAGTATGTTTTGATGCAACTTCAACGGGTTGAAGATCAGACAAGGCCTGTTCATTTTCATTGTGTAACATTGCTCTGGTTTTGTCACTGTGCTCATCACACGACTCACTGGATACTATTGCAACTTGAACATGTTGAAGATCAGACATGGCCTGATCACTTTCATGGCTTGGCACTGCTCCAATTTTCTCATCAAGAAGACCAGCACAAGGCCCACTGTTTGCTTCTGCAACTTCCACAGATTGAGTATCAAACAACGTTTGATTATTTTCATGACTTAGCACCTCTCCATCCCTGTCCTCAGTGTGGCCATCACATTGCTCGGTATCATGGCTACTACCTTGTGAACCGTGAAGCTCAATTATCTGAAAACTGCCACCTACTGCATCAAGTGTTGTTTCCTCTTCAATGGCCTCTCGACCTGTGTTAGTGATTTCCCCCACCTTGCTTAGAGGCAGGGAACTAGAGTTTTCTATGGGAACATTACTTACAGTACTGGAACCTGAAAAGGAGGAGTCTCCAGTCAAGATAGGTTCTTCTGCAGCACTTCCGACATTTGAACTCAAAGAAACTTCGTTTGTAGAGGCAGGAAAAGACTGGAAAGCATCCCAATCATCTTCCTCTTCCTCGTCATCGTTATCAGACTGTGTTCTGGGGGTTGGAAGGGAATTTCTCTCTTTAATTTCCTCTGTTTGTGCTGGTATCTTTATCACTAAAGGTGGGAGTATTGATTTCATATGTGTGGGATTCTGATCTTGTGTCACTGAAGCACGGAATATACCCTGAAAATACAAAATTTGTTATAACTTAACTTCCTTAAATAGCATTCATAAACAGATTTCTCACTTTCATCATAACGACTCAACCAGGGAATTTGCTTACAGCTAATAAGCTTTCTCCCACTTTTACCCTTGCTGAAGCTCTCTAAAATATAAAGTCATAAACTTTACGAAGAACAAAAGGAAGTGAGGAACTTACAGGGTCATTGTTGCATAAAAACAACCAGTGTATCCCGGAACACAATAAATAGTATGTTCTTAGGTCTTGCCAGGTTTGTATATCAAAGGATAGTAGACTGTTTGACTGAGGGACTTTAGCTGTTACCAATTAAAAAGCTCACAATATAGATGGAAACACCTTTTTATATGTTAATGGCTCTAGAGTTTCGAGACACCAGCTCCTAACCCAAGGTAACTGAGATTATGGAAGTTCCGACTATAAAGGGCAAAGATCCAATATGGCTTTTGATAAGGGAAATGAAGAGTCTCAACCATTAAAATAAGAGAAAGATTGGAAAGTTCTTGCTTATACATAAACAGGAAGAATGCTGCCATTGGATTATATGGAATGATGAGGGCAATAAAGCTATTAGGACTCAAGTCACACAGCATGGGTTTAACAGGAGACAAAAGTCCAACACTGTCAAGATGCAGCCTCAACGGAACATCAAAATTACTAGGGCTCTAAATTAAGGGTCTGGGGACAAAATAAAGAGATTGCAGATGTTATTCAAATGTGATATAGAAAGAAAAGTACCTGAAGTTGCTGCCTTTGTGTCATAGGCATTGTTAACAATACATCCTTAAAACAAACTGCTGAGGATGGAATTTGAGCAAGTTGAGATACAAGCTTTATGGCCGTGCTTCTTAAATCATTGACTTCCTGTCATTAACATGGGCAATCAACATTAGGCTTAGAACAAACAAACCAGTTTCACATTTAATTTCCAGGCCTGGCATTACCTGAGAAAGACTGCCTTCTGATGTTGAAAAGATAGAGACAATGACTTCCAAAAGCAGATGCATAAGACCTTTCTGACATTCGTTATCTTGTGACATTGTTTGCAAAAACATTAAGATTTTCAAACACTCCCCAGCAATAGCCACTGCTTCCCTGTTTATGGGTTTCTGAAATGCACTGCTACTTTAGAGTGATGTCAATGTTGAACTTCTACAATGAGGAAAAATACCTTTAAAACCATTAAAAAATAAGAAGTACCTTTAAAACCATTTGGATTACAGTGAGTATATCTCTAAGACTCTCCCCAACAAAGAATATTATGAAAAAGTTGTTTTCTGCATTGGTGCCTCTTTGTAGCATGTTCTTTAGCACTTGCAACCCAATTGCTTGAACCTGCACACAAATTCCCACCAGATGTATGTCTATGCTTGATGAATAGTACATGACAGGGCCTTAATAGTGCAAGCGTTAATATCTTACTACCTGTATGTCATAATCAGTAAGAACAACCTGGATACATCGAGTGCAAAGTTGTAGCACAGCCAAAAAGATGGGCCTACTATTTTGGTTCTCTCCAAGACGTGGAAGTTCATAAGCCAACTTAGCAAATGAAGAAATTTGTTCAAGAGAGAGAGCTAGTTTCCTTAGCAGCACTTTACATAAGTTGGACCTCTTATCCTCCAATTGATGAATGCTCCTAATACAATTCTTAATTAAATCAGCTATCACATTAGTGCACACTCTGATTGTTGTTGTCAAGTAGCTAACTCCATCATCACCAAGTTCAGATATATCTGCAATGAAACATTCCATCAGCTTTCTACTTGGCATATCTCAATAAAGACAATGTCAAACTAATTGGAAGAAGCTGATACAACAGTATAGCAAAGGAAGCTGACATGGAAACTGTTTTTTTTCCCTCTCTAATTCGTATACTTCCATTGCATATGATATATAAGTATATAACTCACAAACATAGTTGTTAGTATCTTACGATATAGGATACGCATCTTACGATACATTTTGATACAGTGGAAAAACAATGTATCAGCAAGTTATATCATTTTTTTACTGTATCATACCACACGCGATTTGTAAGGTATGATCCGTTTCAATACAGTGAAAACAACACACACAATACCATTTTTCTAATTTGATTCCGTCACGAAGATGTAAGGTTGTCTCCCTTTTGATCTTTGTTGCAAATGCAAAAACGTATAGCACCAAATGATCCGTGTATTATTTTGGACATTAAATATTCTATATATTTATTTTTATTTAGTTTTAAAATTGAGCATATCTTACGATAGAAGATACGCTAGATATATTATTTTTTAAGGAAAATTATACTTTGATCCCTCAACTGTGACCCTTTTCTCACATTTCACCTTCAATTATGTCATTAGTTTCACATTGCCCCAATTATTTCATTTTGCCCTTCAATTATATGTTTTGTTTCACTTTGCCTTAGACACGTAATTTTCATCTACAAGATGACAGATGTTTGTGTTTGGAACAATGTGAAATGAATTCAAGTAGTTAAGGAGGCAATAGTTCAAGGGACAAAGTGAAACTGAGTCTATAGTTAAAGGGGTCAAAGTGTAATTTGCCCTTATTTTGAAAATGTGATACGCGTTACAATACACATTAAAGCACCCAACCCACAACTAATTAGCAATGAACTAACCTTGAGGGGTCCTAATCATTCAATGTGGAATTCAAGTTCTCTTTACATTGACATCTTGCCCTTAAACATCAAACCATGACTGGATATGTCGTAGTATAAAATGAATTTTCTTTTAGATAATGATGGCATGTGGAAGCTATAACTCAAACAATGATGATTAACAGGTGCATCTGATATATAAGTATTCTTGATCAATTCTCTTGTTAGAATATAGGTTTTACAAATAATAAAAATCTATAACTAGCTAAGGGACGAAAACTCCTAGAAAAGTGGCCAAAAGAGGGAACAAAAAGAACAAGCAAAAGAGCACATCAGTAAGTCATATTGGCAAATCTCTTTGCTACAGGAGAACACATAATCATCAGCATGATGGCTTTTTGCTGAGAAATTAAGCTCGTTTTGGATGAGCTCAGTCAGTTCTATGCTCGCAAGCTTCTATTGAACCGAGCTTGAGCCGAATCGGATCACATCCAAGCCAAATCTCAGCATACTCAAACCTGACAATCTCGGCTCCACTAACACTACCAGATTCATTCAAACAGATGGTTCCAGTAAAAGAAAAAGTCTATGGGTCAGTCTCAGGTCTACAGTACTTACTTTTTTCTTTTTGCTGGGATGCTCCCACTTGCATTGCCGAGAAAATGTCAGATATACACAAAATGTATAATGCAGAAAAAAGAAACAACTAACACATTTGTAATGAAGGATGCTCTTTGCTAAAACCGATTGTATCATGAAATTATTAAAGTCATGTCCCCAAATAATATTTCAATCAAAGCCAAAACTCATGTTCACTTCCCAATTCATTTTCAATTTCACCTTCCTGCCAAAAGTAAAGCTCCAGATTCAACAGTTACTACCAACTTTGAACACTGTAACAGGATTTAGCAATGGTATGCTGCCATTGGTAGCCTGGGGGGTCTGGCGCAGCTTTCAGAATTTAGTAATCTGATTGATCTGTAAAGCGCAATAATCTAATGCACAACTGAACTGGTAAAAGCTCACCATATCATGTGATGGTATAATGACTATTCTAATAGCTAAAAGTAAACTAAAGCTATCTTCAAAGAAAAAACAAGTTCTAGAATTTAGTTTTCTGCAATTGTAATGCCTACATTTTAACCATTCTAATTTTGATTCTGATTCCAAGTCCATTTCTAACTTATGCGGCCACACAATTGGTGGATATGATATCATCAGCAAGGATCAAAATATCATTTCGGTTTATTGTTTCGGTCACCTAGGAAACGGAAACGTTTCGACCCGTTTCGGAAACATAATAAAAAAAAATAAAAAATTTAAGAATTATTTTTCTAAAACATTGATGGAAATATATCAAAATATCTTAAAACACCTTAAAACATTCTAAAACAATTGTGTAAATACATTTAAATATTATAATACATTTAAAAATATTATGGAATACCTCAAAATATCAGAATTTCGATTCCATCAATATTTCGTTTCGGTCTCCTTGAAAACGGAAACGTTTCGGACGTTTCGAAACGATATTTTGATCCTTGATCATCAGTTTATAAGTATCCATATTCAAGAAGGGCTCATTTACCATGTCATACTTCATTTTCTTTTTGCCACCAAAATACCAAGAAAAACTTTCTACCCAGTCTACCTCTCCCAACACCCTCATTAATGAGGACGAAACTGATAATGGCCACTCTAGACATACATATGTTTTAAAATTCAAGGTTACAACAACACCACAAAAAGATCAATGCAAAGGATTCCGAATTAAAGAATAGTAAATGATGCATTTCAACTTCTAGAAGAGGAACATATTTAAGGTGTTGAGACTTCAACATTGCATTATTTTATAACTTAACATATTCACTTTAGGCTTGCTAATGTACTGATTCACTTTACTTAGTATAGTTTGCATATTAAGCGTTGTTTTCGGTGTTTGCAGGTAAATTGGATGTAAAGATTGAGTTTAAGCATTAAAAATATGGCAAGAGACAAGTTAAGATTGAGTTTACTCAAGTAGAGATGAAGCTAGGAGTCTTAGAAGCAAATTGGAAGAAAAGAGAAATTCTACCGGTTGGAAGACAAGAGAATGAAGGTTCTATCGGTAGAAGATCAGTTCTACCGGTAGTTTGAGCTACAAAAGACAAGTGCAAAAGTCCTACCAGTAGATGGATCCCGTTCTACCGGTAGCAAAACTTCTAGTACTTTGCACTTTTTCATCAAAGAAATCCTACCAGTACATGGATCATATTCTACCGATAGCAAAACGTACAGTACTTTTATCAGAGACGTTCTACCAATAGCAAAGGTCGCAAAAATTTCAGAGAATTCATCAAACAAAGTTCTACAGGTAGGTAAAAGATATGCTACTGGTAGATCGAGGCAGATTTTCACAGGAAGTTTAATTAAAAATCAGATCTCACCATATCTTTTGGGGATTCTCAACCAAACAAAAAAAGAGATAATTTTTGTATGAATATAGGTCAAAGATCTGAAGATTTTTCTTCCAACCAAAATAGAAACTCTTTGGGGAGTCAAGAAAGAAGGCTAGAGAATACGTGTTAGAAATTTTCTTTTACTTTTCTCGTTAGAGAATTTTGGGGTTTATTTTACAAAATTTTACTTAAAGTTCAATTCTTTTTTTTTATTTGTTCAAGCAATATTTAGTTTCAATCGTCTTTACTTTCGAAACTTTGTAATTTACATTCAGATTTTAAATACAAGCAATCAATTTCAGTTCATTTTTTATTTTTTGCATTCAATTATGTCTTCTTTAAAGCTTTACGTTATTTCTATTCTCATAAGTGAGTAGTCTTCTTCTAGATGATCTAAGGAAGGAGTCCCAAATCTTTGAAATAGAGCTTATGCCTTAACCTAGGATTTTAACGTTTATGTGATTAATTGAATAACCTAGGATTTTAACGTTTATGTGATTAATTGAACATGTTATGTTTTTGAAAACCTAATTGGTTTGCATACGTGCCTATTATTTGTATGCAATTAGATTTGGTACAAATAATTGTGGTGTTTCATGCCATTATTAGAGTACCGATTCTTTCATCATAAACCATCTTCCAATTGCCACATTAGTTCTTTTCAAGTTTTTAGTTGAATATCATTCGTCTGTAGTTCTTTGAATACGAAAGCAGATGGGTTTATATTTAAAGTAAAAACTCTTATTCATATGTCAGAGTCTAGGGGTGTCCATGGGTCCCATTACCCAACCAGAAAAAAATTGGCCCGAAACCCAATAGGTTTGATAATTAGCTCCCCCGAACCCAATATCCTTAAAAAGAGAGCTTGAATTTGACCTCAAACCCATTACCCAGCCCAAAACCCGTTCGAAAAAACCCGTTAAAACCCAGCCCAAGAGCCCTACCCACACAGCCAGCACACCCTTTTGAAAAAAAATTATATTTTTATACCTTAAATTTAAAATTTTGAAATAAGTCTCCCAATGTCAGAATTTAAAATTTTAAAATTTTAGATACTATAAATAATGTATTATTTTCTTTTCCATGTATTAAACATACAAGTTTTAAAAGGTAAAGTAATGCAAATGATAGATAAGTGAATAGGTGTCAACCTAGTTGGAATGTATTCATTCTATTAGATATAGTTCATCCCCTAATTAAAAATAAAATTATTTATTATTTTATTTTAATCCATTTTGACTCTACTTTTGATTTCTAAATATAATTTACACAAATATTAAGTTATAAAAATATTCATTATTTTTAAATAAAGTTGTATATAAAAAGAAACCCGCAAGCAGGCCCGTCTAATAGGCTCACAGGTTGAGCTACGGGTAGCCTACCCCTACATGAAACCCAGCCCGACCGATAACTCACTTGGGTAAGGGCTTGAACCTACACTACCCAAGCCCAGCCCGAAAAAAATATCACGGGCTTAACCCGACCCGACCCATGGACACCCTAGGTGAGACGAATTCTGAAGATTATTCAGTTTTCCATTTATTGAATTTCAATTTTATTAGTAATATTAACTCTCAAAATTCTAAACTTCAAAGAGCTTTTTCATTTTATTTTTCATCACACTAGATTCCAATTTTTTCCCTCAAGAGACAACCTTGGACTTAAGCTCAAATTACTATATGATACTTTTTTCTTACGCTTGGGAGCTTTCGTAAAACTACAACCCCTTTGGAGGGCAAGCACAAGACATCAAAGGTGAACCACTCATTACCCTTATTTGACGAATTTCTCTTAGTATGTAAGAAGAACTACATGTAACTTGATCCAATACGGTACGCTGGCAGCCAGGATATTATTTAGATAGTACTACTATATAGATTAAATGCTATGATATCAAAGGAAACAAAATAAGTTTGGTGCTAAAAGAGCCAGATGCTGATTAATTGTAAAAAAAAGGGAGGGGAAAAAAATCACTACTCCTATGCATCTTAAAAATGACTACTTAGCAGGGAAAATAGAATAGTGCTGATATCAACTCCAACTTGTAAGTGCTCACCATCAACGTGCTTCTTCAATAAAGCACTGATACACTGGACAAAATCATTCGCTTTTGAAAAGAGTAACTCAGTTGAACCTCCCCCAATGCACTTGTAACCAATTAAGAGAAATGCCAACATCAATTTTAATTGCATCTGCATGGACATGCAAATACCTTTAGTTGGCAGATCTAACATAAGTTTGAGATAGTTGAGCAAAGTGAATGTAAAGCCAAATGCTACTTTTTTAACGTGGCACGCAAATAAAATCCCCAGAAAGCTAGGCAAAAAGGAAAAATTGTATCAGACAAGTACAAGAAACGCTGGGTTATGAGCACATTTGATCGATTACAAAAGACATATTGGATTCACCAAACAACAGATGAATGTAATCACCTTAGGTTCAAAACGTCTCAAGAGGGTTGTCCCTGTAACAAATGCCACAGAAATCATATCCTCCAAGTTCGGATGATAGGGAGAAACTGCACTGGTGCTGAACACAACAGGGGAAAACTATTAGTTGGATATTGATTCTTGGAATACTTCATGAAAGAAGCAGTGGTGCAAATGGATTCAATATTCATAAACAGAGCAGGTACCTCTGGAAGAATTTAAAGAGGAAAGCCGAACAAAGTTCCATTGCCAGATACACAAAATTTTCTGTTTCAAGGAAATCTTTGGGGCAGTTCTGCACAATCTGTAAAGCCACTCAAAAGAAAAAAAAACAAAAAAAGTATAATGTTATGTCTGTGGCATGCCCAAACAATGTTAATGCTTCAGGTGTATACACACTTCTTCATGTGGGAAGAAGCTTTATGTGCTAGAAAGAACAACATGAATGCAAAACAGCAGGACTTTTTTCTCAAGGTATGCACATAAAAATAATAAGCAGATCTATATATAGCAACAATCACGCCAATGATCAATAAACAGGAAAAAAATAAAACAGTAAGTGCCAATTATTAAGCTGATATCGTAAGACATCATTCTAAACAAACATGTTAAATCTCTATCTTCACTTTCCGGAAATCTCTATATTCTGTACCCTTCAAATCAACCATAAAAACAGTCTAGAGTTGGAAAACATATATTGTTTAAAAATGTTCACCACAGTTGAATCTGTTCAAAAAGAATAAGATATTACCTGTAATAGCACAGAGATTGCAAGACTATCCCATGGATCTTCCATGAAGATAGAATATGAGAAAACCTACATCCATAAAATTTGATCAAATGATTAACAAACAACTACAGAATTATGTCGAAAAGTGGGACATCATACGAAAATACCACTACAATTGGAGATTTAAAATATCGGCATCCTAGCAGTCAGATCAGAGCAATTTGAATTTTAATGTCATTGAGATCATATCAGATGTATGGGACGGGCCATTGTCAGCACGAATGGTTGACACCAACTCCATTTATCCAAATACACAATCAAAAAAACTCTATGAAGTGAATGAATAATGCAATAAGAACGAATCAGCATTTGTTAACAAATTTATGACGTGGTTACATCATGGCAGTATCTAATTTTTGGTTATACTGAAATGTTACGTGCTGTATGACAGCAGTTGAATCTGATAAGCCAGCCTGTCAAAACTTGTGGGCGTAATACAAGTGCTTGCTGACACATGTACCTGAATGAAACAATCTTGGTATTTCAAATATTAAAATACATTTATAGATATTTACATACACACAAATTGATATATGTGCTATTTTTCCCCGTACAAACTTGAGACCAAGACCTTTGTAGTACAACTCAAACTTCAGCCATCTTAATTACGAAAAAGTAATGAATCACGTCACCAAGCAATGTACACCTGCAGATGATATGTTATTAAGAAACAAATTTAGCAGGTGGTACCACATCCATTCATCCTGACACTCTTCATTAAGAGTCTTAAGACATAACTGGGTGATGGCCCTTCTTTCATGTATGCATATATATCATGGTGATTTTCAGCTAGGGAAGTTGAAATTCTGAAATTACATCTAAGCCTTTACAAGAAAAACTGGAGCTTTCTTTCTCTCCTCTATCTGTGAAGGGAAAAGAACAAGGCCAGACTTTGCAATTGATGTTTATGGGGTAGACCTTACCAAGGATCAAAATGTCGTGTCGACACGTCCGAAACGTCCGAAACGTTTCGGAATTTCAACACTCCGAAACGAAACAGTAGTTGAATCACAAAATTCCAGTGTTTCGGTCGAAACGGTACTGTTTCGGACCGTTTCGGTCGAAACGGCATTGTTTCGAACCGTTTCGATCGAAACAGTACCGTTTCGACAAAACAGTGATATATTCGGTTCATTATGAATAATTACATTTAATACCCCATTATAATTACATTTAATACCCACTGTAATTACATTTAATACTCACTATAATTATATTTAATATCCCACTATAATTACATTTAATTCCCACTGCTCTTCTGTCTTTTATAATTTTTTTGTTATAAGAATAAATAATTACACTTAATACCCTACTATAATTATATTTAATACCCATTATAATTATATTTAATACATACTGTAATTATATTTAATACCTCACTGCTGTGCAAGTTTTTTGTTTTTTTTTTTGTTATAAGTATTAACAATTACATTTAATACTCACTGTAATTACATTTAATTTTTAAGTATATTTACATTTAATACCCACTGCAATTACATTTAATTTTTAAGTATACATAAGTATCATTAATTTAATTTGATACCCTTCATTATTAGTATTATAATAAAATAGTATTATTAATTGGATTATATTACCGTAATAATATGATTTGGAGTAACTATTGTCATCATATTTATGTCACATATGGAGTTTCTCTAAGTAGCTACCCAGAGCTTACACCGATGTATGAGCCTGCTCGACACTCCACAGGGGAATGGATGTAACCATGTAAGTATGTACTCATTAGCATTTCATGTGTATTATAAGACCTTAATATTATGTAAAAATGTGTTTATTTCATAAAAATTAAGTGTTTGAAACTAATTTAAGTGACTTTTGCCTCATGTCAAGCCTTTTTTTCCCTCAAATTTAAATTTATTCTTGTATAAATTGATGTTAACCTAATAAATATATTGAATTAATCAATTATTTAGCATATCTTTATAAATTAATGGATTGTATTTGTGTTTCTATGCGTTTCCATATTTTTTCTGCGTTTCCATTGCGTTTCCGAAATGTTTCCGAAACGTTTCTATTTTTGAGTTGACCGAAACGGTACTTCGAAACGAAATTTTGATCCTTGGACCTTACAAACTATAAAGTGAAGTTCTGGCCAGCACATTAGCTCATGTATATAAGCAACTTCGGAAGTCTCTATGAGGCACTCTCTGGGTTATGCACAGAAGTTTTGAACCCATAAGCCGTATGATTATCTTTGTCAATGGTTCCTAAAAACATTCACCTAATCTAAATTGACAACCACCATAGACATTAGAGACCTACAATGAACCCAACGAAAAAGATACATATTAAAGAAAACATGAACTGAAAAGGAATAGATGTAGAACACCACCTGCAGCAATTCTCTGCAGATATCTATGGTAAGAAATCCCATGCTGAAGAACCTTTCTGTGGAGAGAAACTGAAACACTGGTAATACAATTTCATATAACTTCAAAGCTAAAGAATTTGTATCTTCAACTGGAGAGTCACCACCGAATTTGGATTTACAAGAATCCACTGGTACTTTATATTCATTAGGAATTGCATCTTGCCCTTGAAATAGAAAAAGCAGAGCAAATCCCCACAGAAACCGAAATTCTTCTGGTTGTAACTCAACCATGCTGCACCCAGAAAGGAAGATACTTTTTGACATGTTTTCAATTGAGTTCAAAGATCCATCCACATCATAATTAGCAGGAACTGCATCAAGCACAAGCGCTTGCAGGATTACTGGACAGGCTTCTTTTAAACAAAGCTGCAGCCTTGATGAAACTAACGGCGATTGAATTCCTTCAAGAAATGGTTTCCACTGTATCTAGCACACAAAGTATGTAAGTAGGGATTAGCAGAGGAATACCTACAACTTTGGTGCATGTTCTTACAGATTCTTAAAGAAAGAAAATAGCCACAGAAATAATAGTAAAAAGCCTTTTGAACATGGAGCTCACGTTTCTCTTGGAATGCAAGCGGAACCAGATATAAGTGTAGTCCTTCAAAGTGCAGAGCCAGTACTTCCCCAGAACACTCGAGCTTTTTGAAAATAACGGTAACAGTGCTAGATATTCATCTGGAGTCTCACATTGTTGTCTCCTCAATAAGGCATAAGTGTAACATTTGAGAGAAGCATGGGCAGTTAGAAGTCTTATTTTGATCTAGAAAGAAAAAAGGGAAAAGTATAAGCATGTGATAAAAGCCACCTTGAACTTCTTTTCAAACACCCCCCCCCCCCCCAAAAAAACACATACACAAAAAAAAAAAAAAACAAAGAAAAAACCTGCACACCAATAAATGCGAACAAGAGGCCCAGAATAGTTCCCGGAATTAGCCCCTCGGTGTAAATCAGATGATTGGAAGAACAGCGAATAATGTACCTTGCAGGACACCCACTCCGCGAATGATGGATAGTACATATCCTTGAAGTCGTTCAGTGGACGTGAGATCAATGAAAATATTCGCTTCACTGCAACATGATCTCCACTAATTATTCCGCTTGTCAATATCTGAAATTTTCACATGTCATGCCATACGCATTCACAATTACTATACATCAGTTCACTGGGACAAAAAGAAGACAGATATAGACCAGTATTCTGAACCTTAGTAGCCAGCTGCAAGCCTGTATCCAAAAGAACAGGACCGGAAGATGTGTCTAAAGCAGTGCGAACTGCAGACACTAGCTGGGCCTGAATTCCATGCAGAACGAATTAATTGACTTTCCATAGGACTAAAGATTGGAAGTTCATATCAAGAGTTAAACTTTCACAAAAACTCGCAATAGAACTTTAAAACATGTTAAGCAACTAAAAATCTATTGATTTCTTTTTTCGGTGCTAATAAATCATTGATTTTGAGGCTAAAGCCAAGTCTATAGGCAAACCTGATACTGTTCCAGTAGGAGGTGTCCAGGAAGCTCAGGGTCTGATATCGTTCCAAACTGAAATTCAAAGCAACAGCATAAAGTATCATTTCAAATCAACTTTGGAAATGCATAATATAAAAAAATATGAGAAATAATTAGCTAAACAATTTTGAATGTATCTAACAGGAGAGAAAAAGAGGAAACACAATCTGAGAAAGGCACTAGAATTTGTTCCCACTACCAAGGGCTACCAAACATGTAAAGGGACAAAAAACATCAGAAAATACCAACTCGCCAAATTACATAATTGTAACAATCCATCAAGAAGCATATTAGTCCTCCACCTTTGGTATTTATTATATTAATTATTAGCAATATGGGTGTTCAAATTTTCGGTTAACCGCAATTTCCTACCCAACTCGACCCTATTGAACGACTAGCTAAAAAAATCAGGTAGGAATGCGAAAGAGTTTTTGGTCTTCCGATTAAATTGGGTAGGAATGTAGAATAACTATTAATTTTCGTATTCCTACCCTACCCTACCCGCATTAATATACATATATATAAACTAAAAACCCTAATTCCCTAACCATATGGTTTAAACTTAAAATAATTGTTATTTTATTTATGCAATAATTATGATAGATTGATATTTTTGATTTCTTGTGTTTTATTGTAATTATTGTTGTAATTATTTTAGATTTTAGTGTTATTGGTTTATTGTGTTGTTAAATTGGTACATGTTATTTAATTGAATTGTTAAAATGATCCAAAAATTAATAACTACAAAAGTGTTCACCTGATTTCCTACCTGATTAATTTGGCCGGAAATCAAGCAGGAACACCACACTTGATCGGGTAGGGTAGGCCAAGAAAAAATTCTTCCGCAAACTATCAGGTAAAAAAACGAAAGACCATATTTCCTACCCGTAGGGTAGGGTGAACACCCCTAATTAGAAATCATTTGCCTTATAGCAAAAATTAGGTAAATGTTTAGTTCTCAGCTTGATATAATGCTCAAAACATAAGGATGATTAATCTATTGCTGATAGCTAATTTTTCTCCATCTTAGGACTCTTTGGAACAATTATTATGGATGGCCAAGTAGTCAAATTAAACAAAGGAATTTGCAGAAAAAAAATTGGAACAACTAGATGAAAAGACGTCAATCAGAATAGCGAAAAAATTAGCACATCAACAGCCAGACTTCAGCTGAAGTGTTAGGAGCTTTAAGTATTTATATGTTATAGCTGATTTTGCAAGACTTAGTTTGTTGACAAGTGGTGCAAGATGAAGAAATGCAAAAGCAAAAAAAGCACAGAAATTGCAGAGTCTAATCCATGATATGAGAGGCATTACATAATAAGTAGAAGGTACCTTGTCCATAATGGTACTTAGAACTCCCACGCCAATGGGACGCATGTTCTCAAACTGAATTGTGCTTACCTGAACAATTGAAATATGAGAGATGTCCACTGTACAAGGAATTCCATGGATGGAGAATGATTTAACATGTGAATAGTTAAGTTATAACTGTTTCAATTTCTTTTCAGAAGGTATAACTGTTTCAATTTCACCACCTGATAAGCAAGCGAAATTAGCTCTTGCAGTTGCAGAACTAGCCAGTCTCCAGAAGCCAGATCATTAGCAGGGTGTCTTTTTGCTAAGGAAAGATCAAAATGAGCAGAATTCTTTCCAACAGCTCCAGGCAGATGACTCAAGCATCTATATTGCAACCAATTACTTCGTTAAGATAAATTCGTGATGGAAATACTATTCAATTAAGAAAATTAAGTATGAGTTACAGTAATGCTTAATGGTAAAAGAGGCATGAGAGGGTCCTTCCTCAAAATATAGTTCAAAGAGAGGCTATGTTTGTGGCACATCATGTGACTCATTCCACAGGTCGACACCCATCTCATGATGCAAAGTAATATTTTTTATGTTATCGTTTCACGCAGAACAACAAAGACCTGGTAAATAGATTTAATTTTTATAGTAGTATGGTACCCAAACTAATGTGTCTGGCCTTGCTCGTAACTACATAAAGCAAGATAAATCCATTATATAATTGCATCCTAACACTTTCATTAATCTATAATGCTTCCATCATTTCTATTAAAATTTTTTAATTTGGGGGGATATATAAATAAAAGGATATTTTATACTGTCCGAGCAAAGGTGGACAAGTCACACAACCCTTCAGAAACCCAAAATCAGAAACAAAGCTACACAGCAAAACAACTGCCAAAAGCATACACTGACGGCGAACTGAATCTAAGAAGGATTTCCATACGATGCAGTCCAACTCATAGTAATACAAAATAAGGACATTCTCAATGTCATACCACCTATGTCATAGATGCCAATATGAAGCTAATAAATAGACCCAATCCCACTATCCTTACACCACTTACTTTTTACCTTCAAAAATTCTCGAATTCCTTTCCAACCAAATAACCAAAACAATGGCTAGAAAAGCATATTGCCAATGAGTACCACCCCTTCCACCACCACTCAACCTTCTGAAATCCAAGAAAAACCTGGATGAAATAGATCGTGGGCAGCCAACAAGCTCTACCAACACATTATCCCTTTAAAAAAAAAGCAATAGGAGAAAGAAAGGATAAATAGTTGACCATTTTACAATTTCCTCTACACATTGTAGACCCTTGCGGGCAAAGACTAGTATAAGGCCTCCTCCTTTGGAGCATATCATGAGTACTGATCTTCATATATATATATAGATGCACACAGATAGACATACAAAGTCATTCATTATTGTTTTTAAATTTTTGATAAGAAACAAATAATTTTATTAAATAAGCATTAGTACATCAAACAAAGATGGTGGACAAGAAGTCCAGCCACTCTCAAACAAAACAGAAAACAGAAAACTGGAAATCATTCATTATCCTGACCTCATCTAGATGAAAAAACAACATGATGGAAAAATGATAGAAACAACCTAAATGAGAACAAGAGATAAAATATTAAAAATTTCACTCCTTAGAGAACATATTGTCAAACTAAATCAAAATGAGAAACGTTAACAAGGAATTATCCAGGAGAATACTTGGGTGTAGCATATAATTCAGTTGTATCAGTTGATAGAAGAAAAAGGCAAAAGCAGGCTCACGTACTCAGCAGCAAAAACCCGTGTTCGATATCTGAGGTGCTTATCTCTTCTAGGATTAACACTGTAAAAATTAAATGTGTAACCCTGAATGGACGAGCTTTTAGAGCTAGAAACCATGTTCTCATCATCTTCTCCAAAATTCCCTCTAGTTTCGCCATTTGGATCATTTGAAGGATCATTGCCCAAGTTGTTATTGGTCCTGGCATCCCTTCCTGATGATGTAGCAAGAATCTGAAAAAGAAATTATCCAGAAGGGATTGCCATGACTAACATTGATTTACAACGAACCTTTCATTGCCCAAATGAACCATCTTTACCACCGACATAAGTAATCAAGGGACTACATCCATAAAAGGGAAACAATTTATGTACCTTGTATATAACATGTAAAGGTACGCAAGCCACAAATATACGACATCACATATCATACGAAGTAAAACAAGATCTACCATAATTATGAGTATCCCGTGCAAGGTACGAGAACCACAGAACAAGCTAGATATAAATAAACTCATGACTACATACACAATGAAATAATATTTACAAGTGACGAGATTTCCAGACATCTGTCCTTTACATGTGCAGTGAAGAATTCAACAAAACTATCCGAGTTCAACTTTAGAATACATAATAGGCTAATAGCAAACAGTTCCCCTCATCATTAAACCATGATTTTACAATTCACATACCATCACATGGCTCCAACTTGTAGCACGTCTTGGAGAGATAGCTGTAGGCATACCTCCATTTACAGAGGTTGATTCCTAAACTCAAACATGCAACCTGAACTTGCGTGAATGAGTATTTGTCATTGCTCCAAGTTCGACCGCATTAAAAAAATATGTTTTGGTTGGTCAGTGACCTAGATTCGAACAGGCTTTCGATAAATTTTTTTTTGAAAAAATGACCATTTAGGGTCCATTTTGAGCAATAATCATGATTATTTCACTTTAGTTGAGCTATTAGTATTTTGCAATTTTATTATGCTTTCAAATATGTTAGCATTTCACTTCAGTCTTATTATGATTCCCCTGGTATTATATTGCTTATGGTTGTACTCCTAAACAAATGACTATACAGAAGGCGAAAATAAACATCATCTTGACGTTGCTAGAACTCTCTTATGATTCTGACGAATGTTCTTGAGCATTTTTATGAGGATGCAATTCTTATAGCTTGTCATCTTATTAGTCACATGCCTTCCTCTATAACCTTTTTTTTTTTTTTTGGGGGGGGGGGGGGGGGGGGGAGGGGGGCACTTTATTCAATACATCCTAATAATTCTGAGTTTTTTTTAGATCTGGTCTTTGGTTGTGTTTGTTCTGTTCAGGTTCTTATTACAGGAAATGATAAGTTAGATTCAAGGACTATTATATGTGTCCTTCTAATTGTTTAAAACTCAAAAGGATACAAATGTTAGAATCCTCAATCTCATTTTTGTGTTGCCATATTGTTAGGAATGAAGCTCTGTCTGCACCAGCTCCTTCCTCATCTAGTTCGCTTGAGGTCTCCAGCATATTTTCTGCATCCACTTTTACTGATATTCCTCTTGTGCACAAGAATGGTACTCGTAGTTGCACCACATCCTATTTATAAGGAAGTTGTTTTTCTCTCGGGTATCTCATTATAGTTCTTTTGCTAGTACTTTGTGCTTTGTTTCTGTTACTGTCTCAAAGGATGAAAAGTCCATATCATTTCCACGAAGGCGGTCGAAAAGTTTTAGTTTCCATGGAAACTGACACCAAACAATAATTGAATATCGAAATTCTTGGTTTCGGTCAATGTTTCAAAAACAAACCCTTTTTTTTCTATTTCTATTTAGTTTCTGAAATATTTCTAAAACATTTTTGTTTCTAAAAAAACCGAAGCTATGTACAAAAGTAAAATTTTGATCCTTGACTGGTTCAAAACGCCAACTTCTCTTGACTGGAAGAGTGCTATGGATGAGGAGATATCTGCATCACATAAGAATGTTATATGGGAGTCAACTAACTTGTCCCCAGCAACACATGCAAGATGGTTAAATATCATTTTGGAGTTACTGCCAAGAGATTAAAGGACCACATAATGGCTAAGGGATACACCCAAGCTTTCGGTGTTGATTACTTCAAAACTTTTTCCTCTCATGGCCCACCTTAAGTCTATTTGGATCATTGTGAGGAATTGGTCTCTTTATTGGGCTGCACTAAAATGCCCTTCACAAGGAGTTGTACATGGAGCAACTTCCAGAATTTGTTGTTCAAGGGAATCTACCTAAGGTATACAAGTTGAAGATAACAAGTTATGGACTTAAACAATCTCCTACAACTTCGTTTCATAAATTTAGTCCAGTAGTAGCTACTTATTGGTTGAAATGAATTATGTGGGATCATCCTGTGCTTGTAAGATACAGCGAGAATGGCACTACTATTCTTCTCACCTATTAGATGATATAGTGTTTACCGGTGTAATAACAACAATATACATTTGCTAAAACTTCACTTAAGCAAAGATTTTTAGAAATTCAGCAATAGACTTTGGAAAAGCTACGTCATTTTTTGGGTATTAAAGTCGTGTCTAAGGAAATGATATCACGGTAACAAAGGAAGTATTATTTTGATCTTCTCGATGAAACAGGTACGATGGGGGTCAACCCAGTTGATCCTTCAATGGATCAGAGTACCACGTTCAATAGAGATGAAGGAGAAACTTTTGAGATACAACATACAAGGAGATATAGAAGACTTCTAGGTAAAACTATGATTGTCACATGTCCACACGTTACTTTATGATTGCCACACTTCGACATATTTGAAGAATGTGGTTGAAAAGGATTTAGTTCTAAAACCTTTTTATAATTTATAGACGTAAGTTTTTCCGAGGCAAATTGGCAAGTGGTCATCTATATTCAAGGTCTTTGTCAGGGTTCTACTCTTTTATTGGTGGCAACCTTGTCCAATATAAGAGTAAGAAACAAATGTGACAACTAAGAACAAGGTTGTCAAAACATGTGTCAGAAGGCATATTGATTTTCAAAAATAGTATATTGTGTATCGTAACATTTCATGTAACGTAAGATATGCCGCAATTTTAAAGAGTATATTAATCAATATATTTACCTTTGAAAAAAATCATTATAATATTTTAGTTCATAATATTCCACCAACTACTCAAGCCAACATAGGTGCAATGGATGAGAAGAAATTTCTCAAACTTTACACGTTAGGTGCATATTTCGCGAACAAGACGAGGCAACATCGAACTAGCAAATAAAGGCTTGATCTCTATGACGGCAGGTGCGAAGGATTCCAGATCTTATTTAACCCGATTTGTGAACCCCAAAAGCCAAGTGAAATAGACCAAGGAGAGAGCAAAAAGCATCTAATAGTTCATTGTGACTTTGTCCAACATAGAGTGATGCGGAAGTATATTATTACATCCTTTGATAGGTTAAATGCTTAATTAAAATCTAGGAAATACGGATACTTCCGGGAGGGTGCCGTGACAATGGCGGACACAGCTGGACACGTGTCTAACACAACTAGAAGTGTTTAGAATAGTGAACTCAGTCAAACACTACTAGGATATGATAAGAATATGGCCAGAACACAGCCAAGTTGTTTTTAAAANTGTTTACCGGTGTAATAACAACAATATACATTTGCTAAAACTTCACTTAAGCAAAGATTTTTAGAAATTCAGCAATAGACTTTGGAAAAGCTACGTCATTTTTTGGGTATTAAAGTCGTGTCTAAGGAAATGATATCACGGTAACAAAGGAAGTATTATTTTGATCTTCTCGATGAAACAGGTACGATGGGGGTCAACCCAGTTGATCCTTCAATGGATCAGAGTACCACGTTCAATAGAGATGAAGGAGAAACTTTTGAGATACAACATACAAGGAGATATAGAAGACTTCTAGGTAAAACTATGATTGTCACATGTCCACACGTTACTTTATGATTGCCACACTTCGACATATTTGAAGAATGTGGTTGAAAAGGATTTAGTTCTAAAACCTTTTTATAATTTATAGACGTAAGTTTTTCCGAGGCAAATTGGCAAGTGGTCATCTATATTCAAGGTCTTTGTCAGGGTTCTACTCTTTTATTGGTGGCAACCTTGTCCAATATAAGAGTAAGAAACAAATGTGACAACTAAGAACAAGGTTGTCAAAACATGTGTCAGAAGGCATATTGATTTTCAAAAATAGTATATTGTGTATCGTAACATTTCATGTAACGTAAGATATGCCGCAATTTTAAAGAGTATATTAATCAATATATTTACCTTTGAAAAAAATCATTATAATATTTTAGTTCATAATATTCCACCAACTACTCAAGCCAACATAGGTGCAATGGATGAGAAGAAATTTCTCAAACTTTACACGTTAGGTGCATATTTCGCGAACAAGACGAGGCAACATCGAACTAGCAAATAAAGGCTTGATCTCTATGACGGCAGGTGCGAAGGATTCCAGATCTTATTTAACCCGATTTGTGAACCCCAAAAGCCAAGTGAAATAGACCAAGGAGAGAGCAAAAAGCATCTAATAGTTCATTGTGACTTTGTCCAACATAGAGTGATGCGGAAGTATATTATTACATCCTTTGATAGGTTAAATGCTTAATTAAAATCTAGGAAATACGGATACTTCCGGGAGGGTGCCGTGACAATGGCGGACACAGCTGGACACGTGTCTAACACAACTAGAAGTGTTTAGAATAGTGAACTCAGTCAAACACTACTAGGATATGATAAGAATATGGCCAGAACACAGCCAAGTTGTTTTTAAAAAAAATGACTATTAACTATTAAAAGAGGTGTGATTTCTTTATTTTAATTTTTTTTTTATGTATTTTTTGTAATGTAATTTGTAGACTATGAATGTTAATAGACATAATGATATTTGATGAAAATTGTGGATGTTTATTTTAATTTATTTCAATTTTAATTAAGAAATTAATATTTGCTAGGTCTTTTTATTAATATTGTCATAAAATATGTTTTGTTTTTAATATATTATAGTTTTATTATTATCCAAAATATATATATAATTATTTCAATTAGCCGTATCCTTGCCGTAAGTGTGTCCTATATTTTCGAACTTTGTCGTATCTCTATGTCTGTATCGTATCGAATACGCCACTTATGTCCGTATCTGTATTTCCTAGATTAAAATTTATATTTAGCAAGTTTTTACATAAAAAAGAGTTAGGCATGATTGATGTGAGTGGCAATACCATATCTTGTGGGGGTGTGTATTAGAGCAACTAGACTTTGGGTATTTTGTAACTTCTTGTTCATTAATGTATGTAAGGTTGTTAATCCTACTCTATGACAATGTAATCATTTTCGTTCTTTCATCTCCCAATCAAAACAAATACACAAAATAAGAGACAAAAAGGCCAGAAGTGGTTTAAAAGGCACTGAAGTAATGTTTACTATCATAGTTTAGCATAATTATCAAAGCTCAAGGTCTAGAACATAAACCGGGTTTGCACAAAAGGGCAAATAAAGCAGGGTGAGCTAGGGCCTGGAAAATTCAAGCTCAGTTTAGGCTTACCTCTATTAAGCCCTTGAGCTCATTAAACCAATTGATAATTTTCTTGTGAAGCGAGTTATAACACATTGAAAAATTATGTAGACCCAAAGTTGTTATATATTTGAGGGGTCACTCAAGCAACTGCTAATTGATTTTGGGTTAAATACTCTAACATGGTATCAAAGCTAGACTTTGAGTGGTTGGAGAGCTAAGTCTTTCACTTAGTGGAGTTCTCCAATCTATTATTTTTAATTTGGTTTGTTTGCCCACATGCGAGTCCAGGTAACACTTGAGGGAAAATGTAAAGAGAGCTAAATCAATTAAACCCAAGGTTGGTTTATAATAGGGCTATAAACGGATCAGATCTTGTTCTGTCTAGATTCGAATCCGATAAAAAATTTGAGTACTAAATCCGAATCCGATAAAAAATCCGAGTTCCAAATCCGATCTGTTTACTCAACGAATTTTAAAATCTTAATCCATATTCGTATCCGTTAATAATCAATACCCAATCTGATCTAAAAATTTAAATCTCCATAAAATTTCATAAAAAAATTAATAATTTCACCAAATTTAAGTTAACTTTCAACGTATAATCAACCAATCATTCTATTCAACAATTTCTATTTAATTTCATGTCAATTTCATCAATAATTTAACTTAGTATGTATGTATATACAATAATTTCTCAAAATTAAATATGTATGTGTGTGTGTGTGTGTATCGGATCGAATTTCTATCAGATAGGATTTACATATATCCAAATTTAAATCCGTTTAAATAAACTTAATCGGATTCGGGTAAAACAGATTATTAAAATATTAATCCACGTCCGGTTAAATGGAATCAGATTCAAATTAGAATCCACTACATTGATAGGGCCTAGTTTATACACTTGACTGGTATTTTACCCATTGCCAATTGGTTTTGAATTGGGTGCTCTAGCAATTTTCAAAGCAAAGAACTAACTTATAGAGAAAGAGAGAATGAAATTACCATGCCACGACATATTGATAGCCAATGAGACGGACATGAAGGGCATGATGCATAGAGCAATCTCATGATTGTGGTACGCACCAAACTCCCAATCCTACAAGAATGGAATGAATTCAAATGTTAAGTGTTACCAAATAGAAGAAAGTACATGGATATTAAAGGTCCCAACTATAGCGACTTGTCATCAAAAATAGAAAGCTATATGCAGTATAGAATTCAGCACAAATGTAGCATATCTAAAAGGAAAGATAATGCAAACTTGCAATACAGATACAATTTTACTAATAAATTACAGCAACTAACTAGTGAGCAAGCTAGACAGTAAAATTAAGTAATAATGACAGAAGCAGACCGTTGTGAGATGTAATAGTATGATTAGGGCAGACTGGAAATCCGAATGTAAGATGTAATATGCATTTTAATTTTATTTTCTCTTGTTTTCATTATAGGTGGACTACTCGTCCCTTTTTTACTGTTTTCCTACTATTAATGAAGTCGTGTTATTGCTGATAGAAAAAACATGACAAAAGAAGACCATAAAAACATCCAATCAGTCTAAACAAACGAATCAGCACAACCAATACATTGCCACTCAATGTCGTGGAAACACTTACGAAAGAGGGTCAATTTCATCAAAAAACATCAATTTCCAATATGTTTTCCTCAGTAGGCTTGGACATACAGAGATAAGAAAATCAAAAACTTTGTAAGTTCTCCAAGGAAAACATCGATAATTTGAATTAGAACAGCCACCTTCCCTGATTGAAATTCCATATTGCACTTTTTTATTCACAAATAATCCATGGAGATTTTCATCTTTTTTTCTGGCAATATATGCCTAGTTTAGCTTCTTACCCCCACAAACTGCTTTTAGAAACTAAAGCAACTTACTCCACTTCCCTTACATGTGTGAACAAAATTCCAAATAGAAATACTCAAGCAAAGGAAGGTCCTCTGCAGCTGCCAAAAATACACCTCACAATATCCTTAGATATAACCAATAAAACTCACAAGTCAATTTAACATTCTGAAATCCATTCGTAGGCTCTAAAAAAGTCTTCATGACAAAACTTTGTCAAAAAGAAAAGAAAGCACACACTCTTTTTTGTAAGCTAACATTCAGTAAATAAATTATAAGATTTGCTACCTTAAATTAATAATCATAGTCCCATTTTCTGTCACAGTCGTTACCTACCCTACACCATTACAGAGAATGCACCATCACATTGCCCCCATAGTGTTCCAAAAGTTGACACACAGTTCCTCAAAAATACAGATATACAATTGGGTGGACACACCAATTCAGGCACAAAAGGATTCACCAACACCTGTATGATCACTCTGGCTCAGTAGATCCATATACGGACCATCCATTACCCAAATTTTTACATAACCCCAAATGATAACTGATCTCCTGGCATAAAAAGAAACCATATATGTGTACAATCAGTTTGGCGTAGAAAAACTCCAACAGGACTTAGTGAGAACACCGCCGGCCCTACGCATAGACCATTAAGTCCGCCGCCTAGGGCCCCCAATTTAATACATATATTTGGGGCTCCCAAAAAAATTTAGGCCCTCTAATTTTAATACAATTTTAGGTACGAAGTGCAAATTCCATAAGAAATCGATACAAAAATAACGAGCTTGGATTAAGCCTTAATAGATATGGATGATAAACAAATGAACTTGATAGGTTTCTCAAATAAGCACGTCAAAATAAATTCGATTAAATACGAAACAAATCTGATAAACACGACTTATATATAGTACAAATTCGACTGCACAAGATTATAAATAGAACGGGTATAAATTGAGTCAATTTTGATACAACATAACTGAATGAATGTTTTTTATTATCTTTATTTTTTCAGTCTTACCTAGTTCTTATGCAAATACTGAAAGAATGAGTTATCTCAACACACAATACCTTACATTAAGTGAGAATTTGTAACATCCAGTTTTTTTGAAAATTTCAAACAACCTTTGAATGAGTTCTTTAATTTTAAAACTCCTTGAAGGAATATTTTAGAAGATCCTAAAAAAAATTTCTTATTTAAACCTTCTTCAAGGAACATTCTAGAATATACAAAAAATATAAGAAGAAGTATGAGAGAGACCTAAAATGTTCTTATGACATTGGGTGGTGAGCAGAAGTTTGGTTTCCATTTCCCCCACCTTTTAGCGTTTGACTCCCCCAAAAAATGAAAAAACGGGGCTTTGCATCTTGACGTTTTTGTGCAATAGACCCCTCCTGCCAAAGACTAGTGATAAGTGGTCCCGCATTGCTTTCAGAAAAGGTAACCTAGTGTGTAAGCACATGAATGAACAGCGACAAACGCTCAGACGACCTATCTAAGAATAGGGGGAAGATCCTCAACAGTGGTAACCCCAAGGTCATAGCACCAAAATATTAAACCTTTGATGATTGGTCTTTTTGAGCCAAACTAAAACACATGGCAAAAGGATTAAGGAAACTCTTAATGGGAATTCAGAAGTCCACTCGTCACTCCAGATTTAGGAGCTAAGAATTAGTAAGGTAAGATATATATACCTCACATGAAATGCTAGAACCCATCATCCGAACCAAACAAACCCCACCAAACCTCGTTTCAATTATTTGAAGCCTATTGCATGATTTTTTTTTTGGCTACTAAACTCCGTAAAGAGTTTTATGGTAGTGTAAATTACAAAAAATAAAATAAAATATCCATTTTCACTATATCTTTCCATGTTAATCTTGATCTTCCCCTTCCACTAAAATTTTCGCCGTGGTAATGTCACTCTTCTGGTGCATATATGGATTTTCATTGTACATGTCCAACCCACCTCTCTCAACTTCTCTTTAATTGGTGCTACTCCTTGTTAAGAGAACTTGTATGTCATATCGAATAATTAGGACCACCAAAGTTGATTTATATACTTGAGAAGTCACTCCACCCATTGCCAATTAATTTTGGATTGGATGCTTTAACCTATCAGAGCTAGGCCTTGGGTGGTCAGTAGGTCAAGTCTCTTACCCATTTAAATTTTTCAATATGCATAATTGTCTGTTTGTTTGTTGACCCCACATGTGAGCCCGAGTCCCATGTGAGAGAGGGTGTTCAGCGAGCTTGTATCTCAAATCGAATAATTAGAACCACAAGGTTAGTTTATATATTTGAGGGGTCACTCCACCCATTACCACTTGGTTTTGGGTTGGATTCTCTAACACTCCAATCGTCTTATTTATGTCTCACAGCTGTACTTGCGACATGTGTCGTTGACAAAAGTGGAAACTATGTAGACTTTATGTCTTCATACAAAATTTTAAAGGCTGCCTATGGAAATAAAATAAGTAAAAAGAAGAATCAAAGGATTTTAAAGCTCAGACCCCCAACTTCCATAGATTTTTCCTTAAAGATTAACTAAATAACAATAGTTACCAGGAAATACAACTATAATATAGTATATCATAAAAAGAAAACCGATACCTAACACCAAAAATGTAGAGGAAAACCCCAACATTTAAAGCATTTAAACATCTGCAGTAAGGGATATATATAGAGACAGTTGAGAGCATTTTACTGCAACAATCACAGCAATGAGACCATTGACCAACAGGAAACGGCAGCATAATTACATACTCCTAGTCACATAAAAGGTATAAATACCTTACACACGACATAGAAGGATCCATGTTTCAAGATAGCACAACTTATATTCAATCATTAGTTCATTACCTAGAATTATACTAATACAGTGTACAGTTGACATACTCAGTATCAGTTTCCTCATCAAGCATATGGAACAAGGCATCTTCAATTTGTTCATCTTTAATGGAAACCTGTAAACAATATCATCAGCATTTGGATCTGAAAACAAGTAGTGATAAATCTAAGAATTTTTTTTTTTTTTTAACAAAAGAAGAATATTATTAACATCGATGGAAAAACAACAAATATTCTTTGGTTCGAAACTCGAGAACCAAATTTTGTTTCACCGATATTATCTTTGAAAAAGGTAATGCCAATAAAGGACCAAAATCTGTTGATCATTAAAGACGGCATTTCAATTTATATGGAACAAGGATCATTGCCTAGTGTAGTCATAAAAGCTTAGGCTGAAACCAGGAGACTGCATATTCAAATTTGAGTGCAGCCTTGTTTGATTGAATTTAATTTTATTTTTGTTGTTTCCATTTGATTTCTATGTGTGATTTTCTTGTCCACCTTCTTTCTTTGTACCTCTTTCTTTTTTCAATGAAAGTTTTGTTTCTTATCAAAAAGTTCAGGGAAGCCACTTTCTGCAAATAATGTCAAAGATTAGATCTGTAATCAATCCTCCTTTCCCAAGAGCCACACATGGGAGCCTGAATCCTGCGCATCCCTAGGGGGAGCATACATGGGCCTGCTGCACTATCAAGCACAAGGTGGCCTTGTTGTAAGTTATTATCTTACAAATGTCAAAAACATTAAGATAAAGTCAAACCAATAAAACCTATAGATAATTAGAGCCATAAAAAACATAAGGATCTCACCTATTAATTAGCAGTGTAGAAGAATAAAGTCATATTTATAAAAGAAATCCAAAAAAAAATCCAAATATAAACTTGTGACTACTAAATCCAAAACGACATGTGTGCACAGACACGCACAAAAACTAATTATGCGGCATTATTGCAGTCTCAAATTAGGATAAGGCTTTGTTTACATGAACAACTTTAAGAAGGCAAAGATAAAAAGGAAAATAGCACTTAAAGGCTAACCGGATCCTTTTCTATGAGATGTCGTAGAGTGGACACGGCTAGATGCCTCAGAGCTGGCTGCGCAAAGGAAATTAATATGTTTTAGAGCCATATAAATTATACTAAGGACCAGTTAGCACACAGCAAAAGACATACCTGTCTTGAGGAAAGAGTTGGGAGAAGAATTTGCACATGGGAATGAACCGTAACAGCTTGTGGGGCAAAAAGAACAAGTTGTTGTGTAAATCGGACACTCCTGACAAAGTGACAAGTAAACTATTCATTCTAACAGTATTTATCTCATATTGTAAGATAAGGGTCAGAAACAGAAGCTATTGTAGAGACTATGAAAAAGAAAATCATCACAATAGCAGAAATAATAACAAAAAACTGAGTACAGGCACATTTTTTAATATTGGGCCAATGCAACAACACCAACTATATTATGATGTAAAGATGAGCTGACATACTCAAGAAGTGTCGATGGTTCTTGTCTGGAGCTTATCTCTGCAACAACAGACTGAATACAAAAGAAACATAGATGTGAAATTCAATAAACTAAACAAGCAATAAAACAAGGATTAAAAAAAGAGTTTTTCCAGGAAAATTGTATTATAAGTATTATTAAATAATAGCAAGAGAGTCAGACAATTATCAAATTCTTCAATAGAAAGTACTCCCAACATATGTCAGTTCCAAGGGTCGGGAAAACTGTAAAATAACAAGACCTTGCAGCGCGAAAAGAAAATGCTGCCAGGGGAAAGTTCAGGACCAAGAACAGCAACACTAGCATTTATAAGGCGGCCAACTCCCTGTTGAAGGTTAACCCATCCATTCTCTTCGGACAAAAGAATATCCATGGCAAGGCCAAGGGTTGCCTGCAAAGAAAGGGCATGCATAAAATGAGTCAACGGACAAAAATATCTTTCAGTGTACTCAAAATCGTAATAATGGATATAATATTGAACCCTTGCCAAGCATCCATCTAACCAACACACGATAGAAATTAATAGCAGCTACAAGAACAGCATAAAAACGCAATCAAATTACCATTGTGGGCAAAGAAGCTTTACAGCTATAGAATTGCATCCCCACTTCCCCATTCCCAAAAGATCAAAATTTTATTTCGGTGTATTGTTTCGGTCATCTAAGAAACAGAAACTTTTCAACATGTTTCGACCGATTTCAAAAACAGAATAAAAAAATTAAAAATTATTTTTCTAAAAATTTGATCGAAATAAACCAAAACATCTTGACCTACCATGAAACATTTTAAAATAATTTTACAAATACATTGAAATATTATAAAACATCTCGAAACATTATGGAACACTTCGAAATATTAGAATCTCGATTCCATCACTGATTCGTTTTGGTCTCCTTGAAAATGAAAACGTTTATAACGTTTTGATTATTTCAAAACAAAATTTTGATCCTTGACTATTCCTATTGCTAGAGTTCTTATTTTATATGTTAGACATAAGTTAGTATGTGTTAAGTAATATTGTAATTATTCTAATATTACATAGTTATAAATAAGAGAGTGTAGGACAACCTAAACTTACACACCTAATTATTCTCCTATATCTATAATTCTCTTCTCCTATTTCCTCTTTCCTCTTTCCTCTGTCTTTCTCTTAATCAATTTAACCCTAATATAATATTGCTTTCACTATTTCAACTCCTATTGAATCGCTTAAACAAGTTAACAACACAGATCATTGTTGGAAAGAGAGTGAATTTAGGTAATGCCACTCAATCGTAATTCTTTAGAACAAATATTTAATCTGACGTCCGATTCATGGCATCATGTAGAATTTGCAGTAAGTCTGCGATTTTACAAGTTGGACAAGTTTGTCAATTTTCTATGTTCTTCTTGCTTGTCCAAAATGTCGTTTTGAGCATTCAAATACGTAAAGGCCTTTATAACATACCGCAGTCTTAAGAAGGTGACAACATCAATGTCCAAATACCACAATTGACATATTTTACAGTGTTTACAGACAAGCTATATCGAGTTTTAAAAGGTATCGCATGTCAAGATTTCAAAATGTAAATAAGTGAAAGGGCAAGCATGTAAACCAAATCAAACTGCCTCTCACAGGGCTTGTGTGCCGTAACGGTGCACAGACATGAATACCTGTACATGAGATACATAGGACAAGCCAGCAGCTTCAAGGGTCAAAAGAAGCCCATGCAAAGACCAAATCTGCAAACCAGCGATTGAACTTCTAGAAAGGGCAGAGATAGAGTTCACAGTTGCAGGTACTAAACTTGACAATGCCATTCCTCCTGCACTGAAAGCAAGATAGATAACATTAAACCCTCTAGGGTATATACAAAGAAAACAAGTATCGCATTAACTTACAAGCATTGTAATGCTGATATTATCATTCATTTTTTTCCACTCTAAATGAGCTAAAGGAAAATCAAAAAGAGCACCTTTATGATCTTTTCAATCTTATATTGAATATTTAGTGCATTGGGCACCATAAGATATCACATCAACAACACTTGTACAAGCATAATGGTGACAAGTTCACCTTCACTACTAAGTATTTAAGCAATGATAGTTCATTTTTTCTTGGCTAAACAGGCTCAACGATGGCTGCTAAGTTTCACAATTGTCACAATGACTTCATGGTGACTTGGATCACTGGCCCCTTCTCTATTTGTCAGCTTTTTATGCAAATGTTGAAAGGCTGAGGTTAGAGTCAGAGGGCTAGTCTTGGTACTAAAAAATGACAGAAGTAGTGAAGAACAAAATATCAACACAGTAGTCACATAAACAACCCAAATAATAAACACAGGAGATAGATTCAATATTGGGAATTCAAACATCAATGTAACTCCCTCTATTTACCATATAACCTAAGCAACACAGTAGACCACATATGAGAGGGAATGTATAAAGGCAAACGCCACAAATCTTACTCTCAAAGTGTTGGATCCAAATAAATGAGTATGCAGTTCCTTATCCAATTTGATTTTGAAGTTCCAAGTAATGTGCATCATTAAACAGGGAAAAATCCTCAAAAGGCTAAACCAAGAAAATACAAAATCCGCAAATGCTTTTCAAAAAAATCTTACTGATGCATAAAGAGGCACTATTGATAAGATGAACCAAACGGCTTCACAAGTCATAAACAGTCACACAGAGAAAGCAGAGAAATCCATCTTCATGTATTGATAAATCTATTAGGTGCAAGCTTCATAATTTACCTGCGATGAATACAGCCAAGGGCAAGAGCAATTGATCCAGCATAGTGCGAATCTGTAGCCCCGGATACATCACCAAGGAGCAATCTCGTCTGTTCATCACAAGAACTATATAAGATCAGGACAGGAATATAGCCCCATGAAAGATGAAAAGAGAAGGGGGAGAAAAAGGAGGAAAAGCACACACACGAGAAAAGGGGTGAGGGAGTGTATGAGTTTGTATATGTTAGAGTATCCAACTCAAAACCAATTGGCATTGAGTGGAATAGCCACTCAAGTATATAAACCAACCTGGGTGATCTTAAACATTCAATGTGGGATACAAGATCTCTTTACATATCCTCCCTTGCGTGGGACTCGGGCTCACATGTGGAACTAACAAACAACTATGCTGGAAAATTCAAATGAGAAAGAAGCTTGGCCCACTGATTACCGAAGGCCCAGCTCTGATACTATGCTAGAGCATCCCACTCAAAACCAATTGGCAATAAGTGGAGTAGCCTATATAAACCAACATGGATGATCCTAATCATTCGATTTGGGATACAATATATTGTTACTATATCTACCACCAAGCTTTAGCATGACAGATTTAAGAGAGATTGATTTCTCAAAACCTAATAGATATAAAACTAAGCCAGCCTGATATTTACCCTATCCTACCAAGGGAATGCACGGGTTTGGTGTCAAACATAGTTTCAATATGGGAGCGGTTCCCATATGATCCTTTCACCCCATACAGCTTGCCACATGGCATTATAGCAAACTTCAGTCCACCGGTAACTGTATAATAATTTTTAATAACTGGAACAAAGGAGGGTAAGGTAGGATGAGGAAAGAAGCACATGCATGGTGCATGCACATTCTCTAGCAACATAAGGGCAAGAGAAGCAAAAGTGATACAATAGACACCACAAGATGAAACTGACCAATCTGGCAGTAAAGATATCGTTTCCAAGGCGAGCTAATAGACCAAGACCCTCTGATGATGCTCGGCGTTGAGAAGCACAAATATCACCTTCAACCAGAATATTCTGTCAAAGGAGAAAAATAAAGTATAAAAAACAGGAAAGACAACAATATCAATAAAAGATGGAAGCAATAGCAAAGAAAAGGAGCACTGAAACCTGAAAGATAGCCTGTGCCGCACTCAATACCTCCAATGCCAGTGGTTGGGGACGTAAAGCAAGCAAAGCCTGTGGAGAAGCATGGATAAGTGAGCCAAATGTAAGGGACATCAAAATTACATGCAGTATATGCAAATCCAAAGATAATAGGAGCACCTTCAAGCCAGCAAGTAAACCCACACAGATGTTGGTGACACTAGCTGTGTGCCAAGGTTGTTTTTTACCAACTTTCAGGCACTGGTCAATCATGCCAAGAAGCGACAGCATCCCACCACTATCCTGGGATTAAAAAAAATTGAAGATTTGTTTAACAACATTTACATATCTCCACCTAATACAAAGGAAACCTAAAGCTACCCCATCATCTGCATTCACCTACCTGAGAAGCAAACATGGTCCCGAAGCAGAGGAGCATCTGATTCACCAACATCTTGCTAATGGTCTCCGGCTTCATATGATCAATTCCGAACATTAGTGTTTGTATTCAATTGGGAAAATTAAAAAAAAGACATACATGCAGAAATTTTCCATTTTTTTAACGTCCCACCTAGCATTGAATTTTTATTTATTTTTTTTTGCATTTACCTTCTATGTCCTTTTTATTGTGCTCTTCAATAAAGATCACAATTCTGAACATTTTCCTTTAAGAACCACTAGTACTATTTCAATGCGATAAAAATAGGAGAACCAATCATGAAAGTCGTAAAAACACAAGAACATGATGGTTGATTACTAAATATGAACATGCTTGCATGCAAAAGCTTTAGATACTAAACTTAAAGCAATAGAAAATGGAAATATATCCAGCTAATGAATAATGACATGAACTTGAAATACCTGAGGAAAACTAGGTGGGTCATTCTCCCATACACAAGGCAAAACACCATCCCTTCCACCTTGAAATGCACGAAGTTCGTCTTCAAACCAATCCCTGGACAATCAAAATCAACAAGAATATAACACCTATAAGATTTCATGAAGAATTGAAATTCATCAAAAAGGATTGCGTAAATATTTGGTGCAATGTCACGAAATTTGATGGAGAGCTAATGCTTGTTGGGTATTTTGGTCTAACATTGCTTCCCAGTTCACACCCAAAAAGATGGACTACGAACTAGAACCATCTAATTCGATCTGTTCTCAACAGATCATCGCACCAATTATGATCATAACAGAAAATAAAGAAGATGAAGTTACAAGCTAATAAAAATATCCAATCAAATAAAAGCAATAATTTTATGATTTAAGAGGGTAGACACCTTCCAGGAATCCAAGGACCCAAACATGCATCTCTCTTGTCTAACAGCATCCTCAAGCATGAGCTCTCCTCACATCTTGAAGCATCCCTGTTTTTCCACCCAAAATGAAGAGACAAAAAATAAAATGTCTTCCAAAAAAGGGAGAAATTCTAAATTCAATGAGTTTGCATGTCAGAAAAGGAGTGGATATTCTAGTATTATCGTTACCCCTCACCGTAAAGTTAAAGAACTAGTTATCTCATTAGCTTTGTGATACTGGATATGGGCCCTTCAGTTTTGGCCATTTTATTAATTGCTGTTTATGCCTGGGGTATATCCCCTCTACCCTCGTTACTCCTCTTTTTATGCCAGGGGTAAAACCCTTATACACTGCCACTGATACTCCTCTTTTCGGTTAATGATACAAACAACTTACCTACCTAAAGAAAATTTAAATAAAATAGAAAAATGAGACAGCAACATATATTATATATAGTTATAGATATATGCAGCTAATCATTACCTAAAAGGAGTTGTGCATATTTGAATAATCTGGGCGTGGTCGCTCTTATATGCAAATGGATCTGAAAGTGACTGGTAAGCTACCAATGCTCTGATGACGAATATGTCCATTGCCGGCTTCACGTTTGGTTCATCCTTTGTTGCTATCAACGATATATAGGATAAAGCCCTGCTTTACATCAAATATGTGGATTTGAAATGTTCATGAAGCAAGTTCTTTTAATGAGAGTGAAATGAACTATAACAAACAAAAAAAATGTTAACCACACAAACAAAATTAGAATATTTTATTTACAAGTATTCATACCGACTAAGGTATAGTAATACTGGTTGAAGTAAAATGCCTTTGTTCACAGCATCGGGAGAAACAAAACATCTTACAAATGCTGTAAGTGCATCAACTGCGGCAGACCAAACACTACAAAAGAAACAAAAGGTTCACAGATTAACATTTCATCACAAAACATTTCTAGCAATCAGATATATTCCAGCAACACTTTACATTGTAGCTAAATGACAACAAGAAGTTAGAAGAAAGTACAAAACCTGCAATGAACAAATAACATACATTGAGAAAATCAATTGCTAAGTCTCACCATCAATACAAATAGTCGCATTGGCAAGAACGGTAGGTAGATTGGGGGATACTCAATCCACAGCAATAGGTGACATTAGCCTTCTCCACAAATTTCATTTGTAATAGTTACATCTTTTCAGATTGTTTTATCTTCCCCAAGTTAATACGTCTCAGGAACTTCTCCTAACCTTTTGGTTTCAAAACTTCAAAATATTTCAGGGGAGTCTAAAAGCGTCAGGTCTAGGTCAACGTTGCTAGTGACACCTAACCACCGTTATTGCTGGTAGAAAACAATCTACATATAAAGGAAGTCAGATCCAGGCCACCATCTCCGTCAACTCAACACCATGATCACCAATGTTGCTGCCATCAAACCCCTCCACAGGTAACACAATACCCAATACAGAAATGGAAAAACTGAATCTACAAAACTGAAACATTGGGCTTGACCCCATTACCCTGTAATAGTATTCAATCCAAATCCAATTGGCAATGGATGGAGTGACCCCTCAAGTGTATAAACCAACCTTGGTAGTCTTTATATTCGATGTAGGATACCAGCTCTCTTAACACCCTCCCTTACGTGAGACTTAGGTTCGCACGTGGGTTCAACCAACAAACAAACAAACACCTATGCATACCAAGAAATTCAAATGGATAAGAGGCTTCACCCACTATCCACCTAAGGTCCAGCTCTGGTACCATGTTAGATCCCAACCCAAAATCAATTGGTGGTGGATGGAGTGGCCCTTCAAGTATATAAACCAACTTTGGTGGTCCTAGTATTCGATGTGGTATACAAGCTCTCTTAACATACCCTACTAAGAATACGTTGATTTTGGTCAAAAACATGAGTTAGGAAAACAGATGGAGATTTTTAAGAATACTGACCACTGACTAGTTCATTGCACAAACAAGGAGGAGGAGAATATGACAATCAAGAAACCAAAAAGAAATATTAAGAGGAAGGAAAAGACATTAAAGCACTAATACAATCCATAAGATGCTTAATGAAATACAAATTCAAAGACATGATAGAGCCCCACATGGAACCTTGCATAGTTTTGTTTGAATCTAGTTTGAATCTTTCTTAGTTACTTTACATTGGTTTGCTAGTAGTATCATTTCATGTGTCCTTTTGAAATTTTTATAGTCAAGGATATTTTTAAATTTCTCAATTCATGGGAATAGACGATAGCATGACTAATGGGTTGTCTTTCGGGTCAAATGTTAGCATAGGGCTTTAAGTATCTAGAGTGGGTCCAAGTTCTAGTCTATACAAGTTTTCTAGTCAATCTGATTTTTGACACTCTAAATCTTTTTAGGATTGGTACTTGGAAGCATATAGAGCTATGTAATGTCTTCAATAAGTAGAGAAAGAGAAAGAATATATTCCAAAGATGTCTCAGCAACTATATGATTTGAGAATTATGAAATGTGATTCAAAACCCAATATGTGATGCCTAAGCAAACCCAGAAAAGATGTCCAGTTTCTTCTTCTTTTATTTTTCTCCTTTTTTCTAATTTTCTGCAATTACATAAGCTCTACCCTAATTCAAATCTAACATACACGTCTTTACATCCTTAAATGGCACCGACAAAAGCCTAATCATTTCTCTTTCAATCCATCAAACCCTAATCGTCAAATTGTCACAATCAGCCCCGAAATTTCTGTTCACAACTTTTGAACAGGGCTATTTTTTTGGTTTCTCAATTGTCCTACATCAAGCACTTCAAAATATTTCACAAAAGGCTCGCATCACCCAAATGACCCAATCATCAGGGACGTTTTGCATTCTCCTTAGTTAAATTTAGATCCAGCAAGATCGTAGATTCTGAGTCCATTACAATTTATAGCCATGAGTTAAAACATAGAGAAAGCAAACAAAATATTGCATGAAACTTGATGGCTAAGTTCTACCATCAATGTAAAAAGTGCTAACAATAAGACCAGCAGACATTTTTCAAATAAATCGTTATTGTCAAACCACCCCAACTACACTAAAAGCTTAAGCTCCGAGAGAGGTGCAACATAACTATTTATATACTTCAACAAATTCCCTCACTTGTGGGCTAGATTTTGGGTCAAGCACGTGCAAGTCTTCCAATTCTCAGGGTAGTCTAATTATTAATAGAGATATATTTTACAAGTATAAAACCATGAAGCATTTTGCAAGGGCTTGCAAAATTAAGCAAAAATTTCATTCTTTTTTCAACTGATCCCTGTTTTGCCTTATGGAGAATTGAGTGTGATCCTAACCATAGCTCAATTGCAGGTAGGTAGTGCAAATTTCAACTGAAAAATACTTTTAACATTTGATCCTCGAATTCAGCTCAAGCTAGCCCAAGGTAATGCCGTAAAAGAACTTCAAGTTCAAAGGTTTAGAACCTGTTGGGGATGGTCATTGTGGAATGAAATCACACTAATTCATCCCATCACAATTCTTTTCTAAGATGAATTCAATGCAATTTCTACATTTTTAAGAAAGCAAGCTCTACTTGTGTCCTCCCTGGTAAAGATCTTCCATTCTTACATGTTTCTTTCAATATCTCTACCTTTCTCTCTTTTATTGTCTCTCCATTTTTGAGACTGCCATAATTGTTCATGTGAAATAAAGAATGTGTTATTGTTCCCACTGCAATTTTTCCCAAAGTAGAAAGAGAGCACAGTCTAATGTAGGGAAAGAATGCATGTCTAACACAATGTTACTTGACAAAATGACTAACCATATTCTAGCTATCAGATCTTCTGTGTGATTAATTGCAGATTCTATATTTCCACTGAAAAGAGCAGCCCATAAAGAGAGAATATCAAAGACCTGGTCATGAAGCTCCTGCATCCGTTAAAAAAAAGCACCTTAAGAAACAAATTGTTAATAACACCAAAAAAAGTAATAATCATGTCTGAATACCTCCTTTGGCATGGAAGCCAATAGTGATGCTAGAAGTGCCCATCCAGCTTCTTTTTCAACAGCATCCACCACAGAGTTCCGACTAGATTCTGTCAGCATTTTCTTAGAAACTTCAAAAACTGATATGGGCAACCTGAATGCAAAGGGCGGGTAGATCAATATGTAAAAGTACAATAGCATCAAAGATTTTATTCCCTTTCTTCGATAAGTCAGATATTTTTGTCGCTTCAAGGCAAAGAATCAATATTACCAAATCCAGGAACTACACCGGAAAAGCTCCATTAAAAACCTAGATGTTAAAAAAGACATCTTTACCCAAAGAAGAAAGGGGGGGTTTCTAATCCACCTATTATTCCCATATGGACGTTAAGTATGGCTCAAATTCTAAATACATTTTGTGTTTATCTCTCAATAAAATCATAACGATTACTCATACAAAATACCCAAACTGCTTATGTGTTTATTTCTCACACAAGTTGTCACATCCAAATTTGGTCCGGTATTGAATTTGTCAACATTAGAGGTATATCAGATTGATTCAAAACTTTTCACCTTTCCAAGTTGTAGTAAGTTTTCACAACTTCAAGTATAAAAAGAGATGGATCACAGTTGTTATCATCCAATACTGATTCAGCACTTCCAATTACGAATATTCAATAATAATTTGGAATGTCATCAGAGAATAGCAACCTACATCAGTAGCCATCACCATTTTTTTTTAGGGGGGGGGGGGGGGGGGG